ACTGTTATTGGCCACAGGTTTTGAATTAGCTACACATGTGGGTAAGATACGATACCCATGGTGGAGCTCTTATCACATCTCACACTGTCAGCAAAAACAGTCATAAAGAAAACAACACTGACAGAGTGCACTAATAGGGCATTAGTTAAAAAAGCAATAGATATTTCAACCCTGTGGAGCTGATAATCTAAACAATAACAAACAATGGATTGCATTATTACACTATTATCATTTTGCTTTCTTTACTGCTGGATTGTATTCTGTATTCTGGGTGTATGCATTTACCTCCATTATATTCAGAATGTTTTTGTCTTTTATTTTCATTTTTAGTTTTTAAAAAGTTATAACACCCCTTGAACTGACTTTGATAATAAAGCACAGTTGCAGTATATCAGCTGTAAGTGGGTAGCGGTGGTTTTAAAGTGTTACATTAATCACACCTATCATACCAAATGTGCAACAATGGGACCAGACACAAGTATATCATGTAAACAAGCATGACAAAGTACCATCCTCACACTGTTCCTTCCCTATTTTCTACCAGCACAGAATATTAGTCAATGGCCCTGTGACAATGACGGCCCTGCTCCTTTGGTTTACAAGCCAGACATGTACGTTACTTCCTGTTCATAAGAGGAATCTCTGAAAAAAGCCAGCAGCTAAACATACAGCAGTGTCCAGACATGCCTAAGATAGCTCCAAGCAGTTCTCCATTGTGAGCACTTAAGTATGCACCTCCACGCGTCTAAATACTAACAAAGGAAAAGGAGAAGTGGGGAAGTGTGTACAACTGGTTGTGCGTGTGTGCTATACTCATGCCAAAGGATGGAACTGACCGCGGCCACTCACAACTCACCTTCATTGACCGCAGACTTCTTCATTTAAAACCATCACCACTCATTTTGGATGACTAGCTATCACATCTGTTGCTGCAGTAGCTGCCTGCCAGTGATGCTACAGGGTTAAACACAACTGAATAATAAACTTGTATCAACAGAGGGCACACAAATGGATGTTTACAGCTATTAAAAGCTGCCTGATTCAAGTTATGGCTCATAGAGAAACTCAGAAAATAGATAATAATAGTGTGGGGAACTCAAGATGCCAGTGTGCACATTTCCCCGGATATGTCAAACATTAATTATATGTTGTAAAAGGAGAGGATTAACTGTGCAACTTTTAGGGGAGAGCGTGGGTTTGCAGCCTTGGATTTTATGTATCACATACATTCACCCAGAGTTAGCTGGTTAACATGTCTTGTTAGTGTCCATGTCAACATTAATATCTGCCTGAAGCTCTTTTTTTCCTACTGGTGGCATTCCTGATGTCTAGACAAACAAATATGACAAGACTTAGCCCACAGCTTGGAGAGCCTTAGATGTGATTATTTATACCTGTCAAATTTTGGTCCGACTTTTACATGTAAATCTTTTATGGAGAGTTCTAAGAAACAGTTTCTGTTCATGCCAAGATGTAGCCTGACTCCTGGGCCAAACCACTGGTAGTAAACATTATAGAAACTGGCATCAAGTACAGCACTCATACTGAAAAACCTACTCTTGTCACTTATTATATCATCAGCACTGCTGGCAGAAATTTCCAGTCCCTGGGCAGCAATGCATCACACTGAAGCAATATACCATAAACAGAAATCAGGAGGAGAACCTCAAGGAAACAGGAGTGAGGTCTGAGCTCTATATTGGACACTCCTGATCCTGATTTCATGATATGTGTGTGTGTGTATCACAACTAGCCCTGCTTCATGGACTGACAACAAGGGGAAATAGCAAAACAAAATGCAAGAGCAACAGCTGAATTTGTATGAATGTAAAAGCAGCATGCGTCTGTTTATAAGACACGAGCAATGATCATTTTCTGTGCAACGCACGAGCGAGGAGCAGGCCACTCATAAATCTGAGAGCAAGACATTGTATGTCTAATGCTCTCCGCAGACATGTTGTGGCTGCTCAGTACGTGCAATGTCACAGGCCCAGATGTAGTAGGACTATTAACAGCCACACAACCTGTTTAGAGCACAAGCTTTCCTGATTCAGTCAGAAGTCAGACAAACCTCAACAGAGAAAATGACATGACAATGAAATAAGAAAAAAGATTAAGAGACTGGCACTAGTAGCTTGAGTGGCACATCATACAGCGTGTTGCATAAGTTAAGCTTCACAAGGAAACTTAAAGAGAGTACAGTAAAACTGTAAAGTGGTGGATCCAAATTTCATTGAGATATAACTTTTAAAAATTATTAGTACTCAGCATATTACACAGCAGTGTTCATGTTAGTTGGCCCATCTGCGGTGACTTTGAAACAAGGGGAGAAAAGTGCAAAATACCTGACACACTGTAAGTGAGTCCAGATTTCTTATTCACTGTTGTTTAAGACACACTTTGGATTTGAACCTGTGTAAAGTTATGATTTGGCCCTTCCTGCAAGTACAGAAGTGTCCAACACTATAAAGGTTTATTTTGGCAAGTTGACACAGTCTCAGTATGGATGGGTTTTCTTACTTAAGAATCTTACCTCATGTATAGTTAAAGTGTAGTAGAGATTAAAAAAGACATGAATTGATCCTGAAGAAAAGGTAACCTGTACATACACACATTATAAGAAGCATTACAATTTCCGGTTTTTAGATTTTAGATGACACATATTTTTTAATGAGGTATACTCCTTAATGACCTGATGGCTATAACATCTGTCACTGTGTAAATGGACACTGTAGCTAATGGTACTTTACTCAGTAGCACAGAATCCATCAAGATAAATCTTAGGACTGCCACTGACCCATGCCACACCACAGGGTTTTACTAACTAGTGTAAGCCCATCCCACTGACAGTGCCAATCAGTCGTACAGCTACTTTTTTCCTACCACTGGTTTGTATCATAATTCATCTCCTAAAGTATGTGATGCTACTTTTTTCATCTTTTAGCTCACACGTGTGCATCTGCCAAGCCACAGCTGACGCCAGAGAGCTACTGAAGGCAAAGAAAACACAGCGTACTATTACTTTCCCCCTGTGCAGTCTGCTTACGCTTGCCCCACTGCCGGCCTGCCCCCGAAAGGCAGTCTGCTTCTGATTATGTGTGATCATCCTCCAGTTTGCCAGCTACATTTCAGACTCACGGGAGCTTTTTTCTCCCTTTAAATCTGGCCCCCATTCAAAAGGAATTATATTGTAGCTTGTCAAAGCCATTGTTAATTGCGTTCATGGCAGCTACCAGCACTCAGTGATATTCCTGCTCTACTTGTTCTACAGAGTTATTTAAGTGTCATTTCCATACTCACATAATGGAGACTCTATAGTCAGTGTCATACAATTGCCAGAATGCATTCAATAGTACTGCTCATGCATGTAGTACTAGTGAAATGCATTCAATAATACTACTCAGTAGACACTGTTCATTTTAAATGCCACATATCATAATGACACATACTGTGTCATTACAAGTTAAAACTTATTAGATTATTCTGCCAATTGCTTCACTGTTCCTACTTGCTAAACCCTGCTGTGGGCAACACAGAATAAGTGGCATTTTTATGCTCATAAATGTATATTTGAATGTATACGTATACAATGTGTGCCTATTATGTAAATTATATCAGATTTGTCAGATTTATCTAACCATATCATACCAGCCAACAATGCCTCCATGTGCTTTCACCTTTCTGTATCAGTTTATGATAACAAAGTCATATAATGGGAACTATTACTTTGATAAATGGTAATAGGAGTGCAATTAAGGAAATAAGATGAACAGTGAGCCTCAGTATTTTCCTCTAACATAGGCAAACCATAAGGCATTGTGTCCGCAGATACACTGGGGACGTACTTGATTCAAAGTAGTGGAAAGCAGAGATGAGGAACACGGTGTGTTTGTGCTGTCAGTGGTTCAGGATAGTTATTTTGGGCAAATCTGCGAAACCGTATTTCCATCAAACACGAGGAAAACACATTTGGAAATGAAATTTGATAGCATTTGAGTTTTGATTTCAATCATGGGGATACGCTGAATGTTTGGATAATGTTAATGATCATATAATAACACCATTGCCAACATTAACGACCAAGGCCATTATAGTCATATCAGTAGCTGTACTGCAATATGATACATTGTTGTTTGTGTAGGAGACCCCCCTCTTCCTTCCCTTCCTCTAAAGGGAAGTCAAAGGTCATTGTCAGCATGTATCCTATTACACACTGAATTATGGTAAGTTTACATAAACAAACTAACAATAATGCTGAGATCGTCAGGTTCGTAGATAATCCAAAGTGACTACTATCGTAAGGTGAGAAATAACATTTAACCATATCATTTCATTCATCAAATCTCAGTTGAGTGTCAACATTTAAGCATAATGGAAGATATGTCATTAAAGAGAAATGGAAGTTTTGACATTTAAAATTCCATGACAACTAGGCAAACTCCATCTAGTGAGGAGGAGTTTTCCTAATGGAAAGCTTCAGAAAAACAACTAAGTTAACTGTGTGCTGAAATTGTTTTATTAATATATTTCTATTATAACAATGTAGGCTACAAAGGAGGATGCCTTTCCTAGGTATAAAGAAATGTTGTTAGGTTTTTAATTAATCACTTAGGGCCATTTAGCATTTATTTTGACTTGTATGATTTTTTAAAATTTATTTAAATGTAATTTTTTCAATCTAAGACAGAATATCAGTACAGTTTTAGTGACAGTATTATGTTTACAATGGAAGCATACCGCTGGATGGGTGATGTAAAAATACAAAAAATATGTGACTGCAGAAACCAAATTTGCGATAGAATCTCTCTCTCTCTCTCTCTCTCTCTCTCTCTCTCTCTCTCTCTCTCTCTCTCTCTCTCTCTCTCTCTCTCTCTCTCTCTCTCTCTCTCTCTCTCTCACGCACACAAACACGCACGCACACATATCTCCCACACCTCCCACCTCCAACGATGGGATCCCAGGGTGAAAGACATCATCAGGCGGTCCAGGAGGTTGCAGGAGCCGGTCGCGTCATCCCTGGATGGGCGGCGCACTGAGGGGAGGACGGATGGTGTTTTCCAGCTTTAAAAGCACTGGAGCCGGCCCCTTTGACAAACCACTCTGCGTCATCGACCGGGGAGGCTCTTGAAAACCTTCATTGGGCTGAAGAGAGACAAACTCACCTCAACCAAGGTCCCCTTAGCGGCACTACCTGCGCCGGTCTACAGTTCCAATAGTATAAGATTTATCCCCGCTCAGCCAGTCAACCGCGTTGTGGTTCCAAGTTGTACACTCGTTATGCTTTAACTTCAATGCGAATAATGCTTTTATTTGATGGTGTATGAAGTGATCTGGCTCTTGCAATATTGTCATCGGCGTCGCTTATCATAGTCTCACAGTCGGTGAAAGTTGCGCGGAGAAAGTTGCGCATCGCTTGTTGAATGCAGGACACCTTCTGCCTGAGCGTCAATTCCAAGTTCAGCTTTGGAGCAACAGCCGGTAAGGAGCAGGGACTCCAGTTTCTCACCTCTGTCGCCGCCGATATGAAGTCTGCAGAAGAAGGTAACATTTTTAATGGTTTAACCAGCGCTCTCTTGGCTGTAATCCTTTGATTTTAAGATGTGTTGACACCAGGTGCTGAGGCTATAATGCAAATTAACAGGGATCATGGTTGTCCTCTTCTAGGTAAGCTAATATTACAGTGACAAATAGCTGTCACTTGACTTATAATCTGATTTTTTATGATTATTTTATTTTCAAAATAAAAAAATAAATCCACCTGCAAATGTTCACGTGTTGGTACAAAGTTGAGCAACTGATAACTGACTGACAATATATTCACATCGAGAAACTGTTTATTTGTTTAACTATAAAATTTATATACAATTTTGAGGAAACATTTTAAAATTATGATATTGCTGGTTTTTCTAAAGTTGTCACCACATAAATGCCAGACATATTTTGCTGTGCTCTTCATGAGGATTAAATTAGCAGTCATTCAATACATATTGAGTGGCATGCGCCCATTTTACATCCACACCATTAGGTGTCTCCAGCTGGCTTTGCAGGTGCTTCTCATCATGTGCAAAGCATTTTGATGGGGTTATGATGTTGCTGACACCTGCACCTGCACTCCTCTTGATAAGAGGCACAACTTAAAATACTTGTTTATAATATTAAAAATCAGGGAGATTGTCTATTCTCCCAGTGCACAGTGAGGCCAGAGGTCAGGGGTCATCCACAGAACAGCAACATCAGGAGTTACCTGAGATTCTGTTTTAGAGATACTTTAGCTTGGAGGATGATTCTGTCTGGGTTTACTATTAAAAGGAAAGCTCTTTAAATCAGCATTTATGGTCGCAAAATCTGACTTGGTCCATCAGAAATCACTGATAGTCTGTTTGTCTAAACTTAGTCTTCCAGTGCTGATGTCACTGGCTTTTTGTGGATTTGGGGAATCTCATTTCATCTTTGAGGTTTCAGACGGACGGGTGCAGGCTGTATTATTATTCATTTCAGTCCCTCAGTCCTAAGCCCTATAATTGGTAACAGACGTGTGTGTGTGTGTGTGTGTACGTGCGTGCGTGCGTGCGTGCATGCGTGCGTGCGTGTGTGTGTGTGTGTGTGTGTGAGTGAGAAAGAGAGAGAGAGCTGCGATCTGTGTGTTCAGGGATGCCGGGTAGCTTGCTTGACAAGGAGACTTGCCTAACCACACACAACTTTAACAGTATGCCAAGGGCTGCTTCATTATCACAGATAAACTCAGACACATAGGCCCACAGATGCAAGCATACACACACACACACACACACGCACACACACGCACACACACACGCACACACACGCACACACACTCTGCTGGTGTTTTGCCATAGCCCATAGTCAGCCATGTGCGATAAGTGGCCCCAGGGTTCTTAGTTCCAGAGGCTGCAGATGACTTCTGTGGGTGACCACCTATCTCTCCCTGAGGTCCCGTCAGTCTGAGCCCAGCCTGGACCACAATCCCCGTGGATAAACCCATCCATTCTTTAGTCACGCTAGTTTGGTTGTGGGGAGTTTTTTGATCGTGATAGCATAATTGAGAAAAATTGTTGAGGACAGAAAGAGCACGCTATAAACTGTGTGATAGTCAGTATTTTCAAATTAACTCTGCTTATACCGCATTTTGAATGCACTGCAGACAATTGCAATGGCTTTGCCTTGAGTGCAAAAGTGAGTCATTTTCTTTTTCTTTCATTTGTTTCACCCCACAAATTCTGATTTGGTATAATTTTGTCGGTTCAGCATATGTGAGACGTATGTGACCCGGAAAAGCCAAGTTTCAAGATCATGCAGCACAGAGTGAAAGCCCCAGTGTGTTTGAGTGGGTGTTAAAAAAAAAGAAGTCAAGTATGTTGCGGCATAGTGTACTGATCACGCACACATTCAAAAGGAAAGAAAATAACAGCTGCAACTCTAAGCAAAGTCACTCAGGCCTGAAGCAAGGAGGTGTGTCACACCGAGTAGAGTGGGCAGGGAGATTGTCATCTGTTCAGAACTAGAAGAGTGTAAACCAGAAGAGAAAAGTATCAGAGGAGACTGAGCTGAAGGCATAGTAGTTTTTATGTTGAAACTTGTGTATCATCACTGGGGCGGAGATGAGTTTCGAGCATGAAGAGCAAGAGTTTGATTTCAGCTACATGTTTGAGTACAGCCAAGGTGTCCAGAATGAACCTGAGACAGGTGCGTACTCAAGGGCTATAGAGGGTTTATTTTTTATTGTATGTCCTCTATATTGCACAATGTGAAGGCACTATTGTTTATTGGGATCAAGAGGAAAACAACTTCAGAAGTCACTGTGTTTCTCTGTAGAAAGGTTGTAAAAGGGTCTGACATTTATCATTATGTTAACCAAACAAACGATTATTATCATTCTAAATAGCATGCTTGTTTCAGCATACTTGTGTGTTTCAAAATGTTTCTAAGATATGCTTGTGTATCGGCACTGGCCACCTATTAAAGGTGTCCTAGGCATAACTTGTGATATATTGAATTTGGCTGGTGCACATGGCAGAATCACCTCTGAAAATAGACTCTCATAAACTAATTTTAGACTACCTACCCACATATTATGTGATGTGTGACAGATTCATCATTTCATGTGATGCACAGCATTGTGGTTAACAAATATAGCACGCTGTGTCAAGGGGAATGCCCTTCAATGGGTTTCAGACTGAATGGTAGTCATTCTTTGATTACTTTTACCCTCATTGACATTATCAATAAAAGGCAGACATGAGGTTTACAACTGTTGACACAGCAGCCAGGCTAACTGAAGAGGCATACCTGCCAGGCTGCTTCCACTGACTGAGTTTGTATGTCACTTGTCTGCTTGTGATTTCCTTGTCTGCTTGCTTGTGCATGCCCTTTGTTTGTGTGTGCCACGGTGCATCTGTGTGTAGCCCTGTAGCAAACTCGCTTTGACTTAATCACAAGCTCAGAGCGATGCGAGAGTGCTGTCAGTTTTCCACAGGGGAGGGACTAATTCACTCAGTGAGTGATGCAATCAATCAAATAAAGCATCCATCAGCGCTGCTGGAGGAATTCCTGTAGAGTACATATGACAGCAGGGAGTGCCAAATAGAGTCTTAGATGAACTGATCAAACAACAGAGTGGCTATGCAACTTGCGACTACAGAGCAACCACATACAGTAACTGCTTTGAGATGATTGCTAAGCTTCTCCAGATGTTTATAAAGAAGAGAGGCAGTCATTCGCTGTGAGACATTTTGGTAACAATTGTGTAAGGGTATTGTTCTAAAATGTAATCAAAGGTAATTATCACCATACTGTAATAGTTCTGGTCATGTGCAGTGGCATGTTGTCATATAATATACTTAAAAAATACTTCTTTTTTTCAGATGCATACAGCTACACACCAAATGTCAGCTTGTCCCTTCCACTGGGCATGGGCAACCCCTGTCTGGCCACCCAGTACCATACCTTACAGTCCAGCCCAGTCATATCTTGCCACCAGACAGGTTACAGCCTCCAAAACGAGAACCATGCAGCATCAGGCTATTACCTGCCCCACGGCTTGAGACCCAATGGCGCCCCGGCCCTTGAAAGTCCCCGTATTGAGATCACTGCCTACAGCCAGTATCCTGAGGATGAGGTAGAAGAGAGCAGCAGTGAGGACCACATCGTCAAACGAGGCATTAACTCCATCGTGACGCTGACACTGCCCAATGCAGACGGCTACCGTGATCCCAGCTGCCTCAGCCCTGCGAGTAGCATTTCCTCACGTAGCTGTAACTCCGAGGCATCCTCTTACGAGTCTGGCTTCTACAACTATGACAACTCCCCCCAGAACTCCCCATGGCAGTCTCCCTGCGTTTCTCCCAAAGGCTCATCCTCTCTGCTCTCCTGCCCACATGCCAGCGGCCGTGCAGCTTCCCCTCACCATTCACCCTCCACCTCCCCTCAGATAGGAGCTGTGGCCGAGGAAGGTTGGCCGGCGCAAATTCGTGGCTCCAGGCCTAACTCTCCTTCCTGCAGTGGAGGTGGCGGAGGCAACGGCGGTGGCAGCATTGGGAAGAGAAAGTACAGCTTCAATGGCACCCCTTACCATCAGACATCCTGCTCCCCCCTCCAGTCGCCCACCCCATCCCCACATGGCTCCCCCAGGGTCAGCGTCACAGATGAGAACTGGCTCGCCAACACCAACCAGTACACCAACTCTGCCATTGTGGCCGCCATCAACGCTCTGACCACAGATGGAGTGGTGGACATGGGGGAGGGAATCCCAATCAAGACGCGGAAGACCATGCTGGATCACTCATCCTCCATGAGCCTGAAGGTGGAGCCAGGTCGTGAAGTGCTGGGTCCTGATGGGGAGCTCTGCCATGAAGACTACCCCTCCCGCCTGGCCCTCAAGAAGGAGAACTACTGTGGAGGGTTCCTGGATGTGCCCCAGCATCCGTACACCTGGTCTAAACCCAAGCCTTACCTCAGGTGGGTGGAGCTGCTCCAGCAACTCAGTAGTACTGTAAAAAAGTTAAACATACAAATCCACAAGATGAAACACTCATGACTGTTATTGTCAAGATGATTGACCAGTTAATGTAAAACCAACCCAGTGCTCTTGCCTCTAAATTGCCTTGAGAAAACACAAACACATGTTTACTTATTTAGACAGATTTATAGTTTCTAACATTCTGCCTACCGACTGCTTTAAACATTTTCTGACAGTGCAAAGAAAAAACAATTAATCCAATAATGCCACTCCTTTTAACTCGTTGTCTTTTTGTTTCCACATTCAGTGTTGTAGTAGTTTTTTAGGGCCATATCAAAAGGCAAAAATCCAAAGTTGTATGCTCTGCACATCCAAAAGAGTTCTCTTTGAAGATCAAAACTATTTCATAAAGCATATTTCACAGGGAGGAGTTGCCCAGCTTGTGCATGTCACTGTTGCTATAGCAACCCACACAAACATAATACCGCATACAGACACAATGCTCACACAGATACACACATTCACACCAAACTATATAATTGATATTTTACTTTTGAGCAAGGTTTGAGCAATTGTGTCCCTCATGACTTTTTTTCCCAAGTCAATAACATACTTTCCTGTCGGAAATCAAGTGTTTGATTAAGATAGTGAGCAACAGGAAGTAATGGTGACAGGCCTGGCTGAAGGGGAAGCAGTCTGTGGGTTAATCAGCCGGCTTGCTGCTCTGGTCTGCCGCGCCATCAGCCCATCTCTTTCAGTGTTGCTAGCCTGATGTCATGCACTGACTGGGCAGATAAAGCCCTGCAGGGGGAAATCAGTTCGTTTTGGGTCAACAAACAGCTCACAAGTTCCACAAAGATGTCAGAGATTGGTTTCAGTTGAGCCACCCTTCAGGTCAGGGGTTTGCGTTTACCAGGCATCCGGCATAGAGAAATATTGTCTTGCACATGTTTGTTTTGGTTTAGATATCTCCACGGCGTTCACATGGAAAGCTCTGACTCTCCATCTCAAGAACAATGATGTTAAGGGAGGCCAGCCGTAGCTCTGTGAAAGACATATCATGCTCCAAGGCAGGGTGTGCTGCTGACCTTATTCCATTGTATAACTCCACTGTCTTTTATACTGGTGTGGTTGTGCTTGGAATTTTACAGTTATCAATTTGGAATGGATAATAATTGTATAAAAGGACAGGCTGATTGCTGGTTTGTGTGTGATTTGATTTTATGCCCTAGAAATGTCTGTCCTCCCACTGTCACTTTCTGAACTCCCTGTGTCTGTTTCCACCTGTCACACCATAATACAAAACACACCACTGTCTAACCCAGGCACATTCTTTTCTCATTTATTTTTCATCATTCATTTTTCAAGAAGGACCGCTAATTATTACCCAGGCCCACAGAATTAGGCATGTCAACGAATGACCTCAGTTGATTAGATTATAGTCTATGATGACATGAAGAAGGATCAAGCAAGTTGGATTACACTGAAGTGTCCTAATTTGAGGCTGAAGTTTTTGATTTTGACTTCCTTAGCAGTAATGGAACCGTGGGGGAAAAAATGCAACCTCACGGTTCTCACTTTGGAAGAACAACACTTCGCCATGTTTTTATTCCAAGCAACTTGGAAATATAAAACACAGCACTTCCTGTTTTTCAGGAAAGAATAACCAGACACGGGTGTTTAGCATAGAAAGTATAAATCTATCACGGACTAGATAATGTTAATTCACTATTATCAATCTGGAATATAGTAGGAAAACATGTTTTGTGGATAGTTACTTTATCTTGTGTTGTGTTGTTGCAGCCCATCTCTGCCAGCTCTTGACTGGCAGCTTCCATCCTGCTCCGGCCCGTACAACCTACAGATTGAGGTGCAGCCTAAGTCCCACCACAGGGCCCACTATGAGACTGAAGGCAGCCGGGGGGCAGTGAAGGCACTGTCTGGAGGCCACCCTGTAGTACAGGTATGTCACCAACACCTTGTTAGCCAGCAAATGTTTTTTTGACTCAGCTCTTTTAGATCCACTGTACCCTATGCTGTTGACTAGAGACAAGGTTAGCTTTGTGTGTTTAAACTGTGTAATAAGTTGCTGTCATTACAACATAAGTGGTAACAAGCAGACAAGTGCATGCTGATTAACTGCCCTTTTTTCTGTCCAACAACAAGCTAGTGACATGGGCGTTTGGCTGTAGCTGAGTTTATGACAGCATGTAGTCACAGAGCAAAGTCACAGAGCAGCCATTATCTCTTTCATTAGCCTTTCATCATCTCGTCTTTTTTCATGAAAGTAAAATCAGGAGTCATTTATATGCAAAAACCTTACAGCTGGAGAAATAATATATGACTTGTATCAAATAAATTAAATAATAATAAATCTATTTATTAGTTTGCATCAGAAAATTTGGAACTTCAAATCAATTATTTTAAACTAAACTAGAGAAAACTCAAAGTGCCATTACATCATGATTGCAAACTTGTCAAGCCACTAAAGCAGATCTCAATAGTCCTCAGGCCTTTTCTATGGCTTTTGACGGCAGTGTTGCAGTGTATACACACCACAGTGTATACTGTTTCTGTAGGCGCTTGTATGCTTTGTTATTAATGTTTCCTGAAGCCGGGAGTGAATCTACTACTGCAAGAGGTCGCCCTGACCAGCAGCAGTGCATGCTGACTCAATTAGTATAGAGCAGGACCATCGCCTCTCACTATTGTGCTTGGCGAACACTTAAAGAGCACACGTCAGTCTCACCAGCAGCACAGCACAGAGCTCCTTTCTCTGCTACACTGTGATCACACTGCACTGACATCTTGGTTTACTTAAGGTGGGGATCCTTAAGGTTGAGGGTAAACTTGACTTTAATTTCATCAGTTAAAAATCAAACTGCATTTAACCTAATAAGCACAGGGCGTTCATTGATGATGTCTTTGTTTCAGACAGATTTAAGGATTTCAGGTGGCAAACATTGCACCCTGAGAAAAAAATTTTTTTTGGACCAGTACAGCTTCAGGTTGGTGGTCCATCCTTGTGACACACTTAACATTAGACGCTGTTAGCACCATAGCTGTTTTCTAAATAGATGTTGTCAGACACCTGGTCTGCTCAAAATCAAATGCACTTGACAGCTGTTGGCCAACGTAGAGTTATAAACAGGCCTGTCAACCTTCAGGTTTTCTCAGTATATACAGGTAATTATACAAACCTTTGTATGTCAACATGTGGGTAAATCAACATTTTACCCTCACACCAGCCCATGAGGCTGACCAGGATCAGCCTGCCATGCACAGCTGTGGCAGGTGAGACACTTTTGATTCAGTTCACGTGACTTTCTGACTGTCTGAAAAGTCATGAGTGAGCATCCTGTGTGTCCTTGCATACACAGTGTTGTCCAGGTTTAGGCGGATGACTTGGGTTGTTTATTTCATTCTACACAGTCACCCGTTTATTGCCAACTTTGTGAGGATGTTAAGTCTTACTGTGTATATCGAGCAATTATTAGTAAGTAGCAGAGAAAATATGATGACAGCTGCTTTACCGTTACACCTCCCCTTGCTCACGTTGCTCACATTTTACTCTTACTTTTTAGTGAGGAGTGATTTATGCCTCTGACATTGCATGCGCAGTCAATTGAGACATTTTGGGGGGTTTCATAGCAGTGGAAATCACTGGAAGCATGGCAGTTGGCAGAAAGATAAATCTATTAGGATTACACAATCATGTGTACATGCTAGAAGGTAAAATGTAGAAGAGCATGTACTGTATCTTCAGGATGTTTTTGCACAGTTTGGAGTAAAAAGTCTCTCATAAATCTGACCGTCTTACTGTTTCTCCCTTTAGTCTTTGTTGTAGTGTTGTGTTGTTGTAATCATGGAGGGTAGGGCATGCTGTAGTCCCCAGTGCCCTGTGGTAATGAGTGGCAGGCGCTGGATGGTTGAGGTGCAGTCAAGGAGAATGAGTCAATAATGACACGTTTGTAGGAACCAGCTAAGGAAGTATCTGCGTGTGTGTGTGTGTGCTTAAGACTGGAGTGTGTAGAGAGAGAATGAGAGAGAAGGGGCAGAGGGAGTCACCAGGCAGCTGGGGCTTGGCTGCCCCTGGAGATGCTCTGTATCCTGCTGATTAGGGCCTGGGTGGCCCTGAGGTTGGCTGGGTATGGCGGTGGTGGGGGTGTTGTGGTTGGGGGTGTGGGGCGGTGGATAGGAGTCAGAATCCCAGCACCCTTTCCATGCAATGGTGCCTCCCTTGGGGGACCCAAGGATGTCACTCCTTGTGCACTGTTCATACTTCAACCATCTCCCAAACCCACACCAGCAGGCTTCCCTCAGTGAAGCCTAGTCATCCACACCACTTTTGTTTTTTTATCTCATGGATGATCAGCCACACGTGCTATGAGTGATGCTGACGTGTGTTGAAAAGCAACACTGCATAAAAAACAGCAAGATGAAAAAAAAGGATTCACTGTTTCTACAGCTTACCATGTCCCCCAGGGAGAGAGAGCGTCTGACATATAGTTAGACCAAGATGCCCAACTGCTCGTTCACTATCTTGTTATTCAATTTAAGCAGAGGTGTTTTCTTGACAAACACACTGGAAAGTTTAGCATCTACAAGGTGTGACATCATCCTAAGCTGCAGCAGATCAAACACGGCACATTCTGTGTTATCCATCGCACAGGATGGAGAGATTGTTGAGGACAATGGGGTGTCTTTACTCCAGCCACACACCGATGAAAACCTCTAGATTATGGGTTACCTCGACACATTACCCCTCTGCCACTTGCACCGGCTCTCTGCGCTTCCCCTTCCAAGTCTCCGACATTTATTCAGTCCTTCCCTCCCCTACTCCGCATCCGCAGCCTTTTAACCTCCTCTCTCCCGATTGGTCCACTTTGTGACCCCCGCAGCTGCTTTTCCACTTTATTTACTGCAGCAGACCGCAGTGCCATTAAGGGGATCTAGGGTACTCTATCGGCTCCTCTCACAGCGTTCTAGACGCTCCACTCTCTCACCACAGCTATGCCAAATGTCTACAGGAGGATTTTTGAACCCGTGCTCAGGGAGAAAAAACAACAACCTGGTCTATCTTCACTCAGTATACCACCATGACAATGATTGATGGGTTTTTCCAGAGGAGAACAGTGGGAAAAAAGTGGCAAATTGTGCTGTTCATTGAGCACATAGTGACCAAGGACATGACCTGGCTCTGATCTAAAATGTGGGTTCAGTTGAAGATGTTGCAAAGAATTTCAGGTTCAACCTCAGTCAGGAAACACACATCTGCCAGCCCCAGCACACAGCAACACCTGTGGAGTATTAAACGTATCACGCAGCATGCAACGCAGTCCTGCATATGGCTAGTTGTATAGAATAATGACTGGCCTATAGGGTTTTGCCCCTCACACATACACACACTCTCTCACTCAGTCTCTCATTAAGTCTAAAGCAGCAACAGACATGGTGTAATTTCAGCAGGATGTGGCCATCATCCCTATTAATGTGTGCGTGACTTAATACCCATCTCCCTTCCTCTGCAACTGTAAGTAATACACATCAAATTTGCAATATGTTTCCGCCAAGGCGACATGAAAGACCTTGGCAGACATGTGCTCGGTTCTTCGCATGTGCAGTTTCACCTTGGGATCCGATACTTGCTGGCTGCGTAACGTCTCAAAAGAAAACCCCTGATCTACAGCACCTTATACTGTAGCTGCTAATTGCTCATTAAACCTACTGCAGCCTCTTGTTTAATATTCAAAAGCCTCAGCGTACCCTGTAATGCTGTTAGAGCTTAGTCAGGGCGGTTATTCGTTGCCCAAAGGGGTATTTATGCCACTCTTAAATTGTGGCTCTCCATCTACGGGGCTTCCCTTACATTGGTATTGGGCTACCACTAATTACCAGTTAATAGCAAGTGGAAAAAATGGAGTGAAATTTTGCATCGTTTTCACTGGTTTGAGGTGATAACCAGACAGCCCACAGATTTATGAGGTAAGATACTGGCGGGTAGTCATTCTATTGGGGGGCACAGCAGTTGTCCATGCATCGTCTTAGGCAAATTCTCTGTAGGTTTGGATTATATTTCTTTTGACAGGCTGTGCTGGTAACAAAGTCATTCTTTTTATGTGGAATTTGGACCCTCACTGGTCTAGACATGGGCTGGTGCTTGAAATTATGCCCTCAATGACATAATACTAAAGTACACAGTTCATTAACAACGTTGAAAGATATAGCTGCTTGTTGGCTTATGAGCAGCGTTCAGAGCTATGGAGATGCAGCACAGGATTGCAAATGTCACCTTATGCATTCAATACAAGGTACTGGAGACATTAGCAGGGCAGGAGGGTGATGGAGTAAAGTCTGGAAGGAGAGACAACTTGTATGAGTGTACATTTAATTGGGTACAGCAGAGGCTGGCTGTGTGACTGTCAGCACTTGACAGAGAGAGGGGAGGGTGATAATGGGAAAAAGCCTGAATCTGCTGTTGTATTTCTCCTCTTCTACTTCAGTCTCCCCCCTCCTCTGCTGCTTCCAGTCGTCTTCTCCTTCTCCTCTCCCCAATTCTCTGCGCCACGTGGACTACGAGTCATGACATTTCTCCAGGCAGTGATGAAATCACTGCGAAGGGATAGAAGGCAGCCCACTGCAGGCCTGTAGAGTGTATTCACACTCAATTTCCAGCAAGTCCAGACACATCTAATTTACCAGCAAGTCATTATTAGACATTATACGTTCAAATCCTTTCTTTGAACTATTGAGGCCAGCTGCAGGCAGCACTGAGAATGTCACTACAATGAAGGAAATTGAGGGCTAAAATGTGCTATGATTTTTTTTTTTTATCACCAGTGATTTTCATTGAGTGAAGCAAAGAAAATTAAGAAGAACAAATATGCTTTTGGGTGTGTATCCCAAGGGCTGAAACGTTCACTACTGATGATGGATCTGTAATGGTCCAGAGGGACTGGGAGATGAATGGTGGAAAGTGGATGGGTTGCACCTCCTCTCCCTTTTTAGCTCGACACCCCTCCACTTCATTGCAGCTGACCCAGACAATACAGCTGCATATAATTACACAATTAATGCGTCAGCTGCCATGTGCACAATGTTTTACTTGAGCCTCAGCTATCAAAAATGGCTCGTGCAACAGTGGCTTGCGGTGGGAGGTGTAAATGGATCTAGCCGACACAGTGGCAGAAGTTGGCACTAACAGCTGCAAATCAAGCCTCATATTCAAACTCAGTTTAGATTATCTCAAAATAAATATACAGTATGTATGCCAGATAGGCTGCAGTTACTGCTAGAAAAGCTCATCTGGTCAAAATTAGCTGCTCTCTGGCCCAACCTCACAGACACCATCAGACACAAATACAAACGCTGAGGTCACAGGTGTGTGTGAAGCCTCACACTTAAAAAACTTTATGACACTTTCTCGACTTTTTCCCCCCGATCTTATTCCCTCTTAGAGAATAAATTGAAGAAGTAAGTTTTGTGCTCTACTTGTGGGGGCGCATTTGAGTGAGCATCACAGGAGTTTAGCAGAAGCTAAGGGAGAGGGTCAGGGAGCACATATGGTAAAGGAATCGGGGAAGGTCGCCCAGGGGGAACTAGACCGCCTTCCTTTGCTGCTGGGAAGACCAGCGTCACCAAGAGGACTACCTGACCTCATTAATCACTTCCTCTCCTCCATGAGGTCACCACGGCTTTAAGTGTGGACGCCACCGTCATTGTGCACTACCCCCCACCGTCCCTCCTGTCTCACTTGTGGGCCTCCTTACCGCCACGTGGCGGCTGAGGTGATGGTTGGAGGTCACCAAGAAATCCAAAGAAGTCTACAGAGGCAAAAGTGACAGACGACATGGCTTTGTAGCGCGGCTGCCTGTGTTTTATTAAATCATAAGGGGACGTCATGCAATTTAACGCTCCGGTGTTTCAGATTTGTACCTCATGCTCCACCATAGCGCTCTCACGAGTCAATACACAAGTAACTGGTAGCATGTGTGGCTATGGATAATTAACTCTGGTGACACCATAAGTAAAATATAACAAGCAGAGCAGGGTCTGCTGGTGAGATCACTGCAGAGATGAAGTGGTCCCTTGGGATGCCAAGACTTCAAGAAGCTCCTTACCTCGGCCTAACTCACTGATGACTAGCATGTGTGACTAGCTCACAGGTCAAGACAGCTGCTAGAGACACTATGTGCAGCTGAAGAGAAAAATAGGAAGGTTGGAACTGGTCTGACAGACTTAGACCACTGGCGCTGAGATTGCTGAGACATATGGATATATACTCTATTCCAGTGACTAGTCTTATCCTATTTTTATTTTCAACATAATTAATACTGAAAATTGTTAAACTGGGAAGAGAAAGAACACATCCTCTGTATTGTCCCAAATCCAAAAGATCTGTCAACAAGTATAGACAAAAGGCATTTCATCGTCAAGTTTATTATCAGGCCAGACAACTTTCAATACAGTATCCAGACAAATTTGTTTTAGGTGTCCATGACACTGTACCACTAATTTCCATAGACTTCTAATGATGTAGCTCTCCACCAACCTTCCTCTTCCTCACACCCCCATCCCTGAACCACCCTCACAAAGGTAATTATAAACCCATTAATCAGATTATGTCATAGGTTACATATGGTCTGAATTTTGTTATATGACTCAGTCTGTTAGATAAACAACAGGGGTCTTTTATTCCGTTTGACGGTACCACTGGTTTCACTTGGATGGAGCTCAAAGAAAATTGGTCTGAAGCGATGCGCTGCTGTATGCTGCAGTAATTGACCAATTTGTGGGATTTTTCAGATGGCCATGGCTTGGTCAGATCTGGTCTTGAGTAAGTGATCCCTCACAGTAAATGTCACATGCGGTCAAGTATCCACCTGGGTGGATCCACGGAGGTCCACTGAATGAGAAGTTAGTCCTCTCTGTTTTCTCTTGGTTTGAACCAGATGAATTCTGCAGTTTTTTTTATTTTGGAGAGATGTCTAAGCCCACACTAACATCTGCCCATATAACCATATGGCCACTTTGCAAAGAGCAGGCATATCCTGGGAGGTCTGCTGTGTAAGACAGAAATCTACATTTGGTTGGCAAATTATTCTGGTCAAAAATCAGTCACAAAGTATCAGTTGTCCTTTACCACATTTTTGGAATTTGCAACACTGTCTGTGTATTCATATTTTTGAGCCATTATATACTTGGTTAAATAATCAATTAGTGTTACTTTAGACACAGTCAGAAAATGATCCAGAGATGCAGGATGATGAATGTCAATTGGCAGTTACAGTTTTTATTTGAAGTGTCGCTGACCCCAAAGTCAACAGTACTTTTCAAACTATGCATGGCTGTGGAGTTTTTCTTCTCTTTTTTAAAAGATTTGATCTTTTTATTACTTGTGCAGTAGCAGCTAATGGAGGCCTTCTAGAGGAAGTGGTAGTTGTTTGAAGTGGTGGTTCTGATACAGGAGTCTCTTTCATCACAGTGGGACACAGTCTCTGAGCTTTAATGGAAATCATAATGCATGTTCATAACTGCCCAAAGGCGAAGGGGCTGGACTACATCTGCATGTCAAGCTCCATGAAGTTTTTTGGTGTTATTACATTTAGGTGTAAAGTTTGGTGAATTTAACAACTACTTTACCTATATAGAGACATTTTTTACATTCTAAATGTATGTTTACACTTGCCACCGTAAGACAGAAAAACTGAATATTGACATTTTGACCACAGGTAGCAGTAGTGCATGCAATGATTTTGATTCCATTTTATTTATACCAATGATTTTCGATGTATGGTTTGTGAAAATGTTTATTTAATCATCTAGATGCTAATTATATTATATATATATATAAATTAGTATTAGTCCAATCATCAGTTTTAGAAACTTCATAGACAATAAGCATCACATCTTGAGGAAGACCTGAGATGATTGGCTGGGATCCTGGATCAACTGCTTGCCTCTCTGTAGGCACTTTTTTTTTTTAGCAGCGGTGAGATATTAATGAAGAGTAAAGTGATGGGAAGCCATCCCCTGTATCAGCCTCCATGTCTCTGTGCCCATGAGATCCCTACCCCAGACAGATTCAGAAACATAAAAAGCAAGCAAAGAGCAAAGACCACTAAAAAGGGTCTCCAACCCAACCAAGAAACAAACAATGAAACTGTGCTTATTTTACATCTACCATGTGAGAGCTATCATTAAAGGGCCCTTTAACTGTCAGTAACCAATGTGCATTCAGTCTCTATTTCCTAAATAAGGGGTTGCTTGAGATGAGGGTCTTAAAACTTGATGTTGCCTCTCACCTGGGTCCCTTTGTTCTCCCGCCAGCTTTATGGCTACATGGAAAGCGAGCCGCTCACCCTGCAGCTGTTCATAGGGACCGCAGACGACCGCCTCCTGCGACCACATGCCTTCTACCAGGTCCACCGTATCACCGGTAAAACCGTCTCCACTGCCAGCCATGAAGCCATGCAATCCAACACCAAAATTCTGGAGATCCCTTTGCTGCCTGAAAACAACATGAGAGCCATGTGAGTGCTCTTAGACCTTCACAAGTCACATATCTGTCTTTTTCTTTGCACGTTTTTCCACTGGTAACTCCTATTTTAACATGCTTCCACAAAAGCACACTCTCTTGTCTCTCTACACCTTCCTCTTTGATTTAGCTCTGCAAACACTGCACAGCATACACTTCTAAATTGGCCTTCAAAATTGATTTCTGTGCTGTCACCCCAAGAGATGCATGATGTCTAAGAAAAAGAAATAAGTACTTATTGTGGACACACTAAGTTCATGGGTGACTTAATTCTGACCAATTTGTGCAGGGGCTCTCAGGCAAGAGGCTTGCAGTTGTAAAATAAATGTTCAACTGGGAGTTTATTCATAAATAGTATCTTAAAAAGTAACAACCAGGCTAGAACCATGACATTCCCCAAGTCCCATGGTCCGCCAGTAGGATGAATTTGCAAGCAAATTAAATGTATTAGAACACCACTACTGAACTAAAAGGTCTGCTGAAAGGAATGCTTCACCCCAAAATCAGGATCAGAATTTTAGGGTGCTCAATTACTCACAGTCATGTAGCTTACAATGTGCAATGAAAAATGTTGTACTTAAATTAATAAAGAACAGAACTGGCCAGAACTAGCCATGTAGCAATAGCAGAACAATGTCAATTAATTCATGTATAACAGAAAAATAATTATATATATAGAGACAGGCCTTTTTTTACAGCAGACATTTTGACTTGAAAGTCAAAATTGAAAGTGTAGTTAGAATCACATGAAGCATTCTTCCAAATATAATCTCGGTTTACATTAGCATCCGTTTGTTAGGCTGGGGTAAATCAGCCTTGGTCTCTCTCATCCTCCCTCCAGACTTGCAGTAATCCAAGGGGCTGTGCTCTGCAGTAGCTCCTGTCCTGGGGCTCCATTCAGACTAGTCAGCAGTGAATGTTTTGGCCTGGGGCCCAGAACTCTGTGTTATGGATAAAACCACTGTATCTGTACATAGGTTACATAAGACCGTTACCTCTTACTGCACCTCAGATTTGCCCTTCACTGTTTCAAATGTCTTTTTTTTGTAAAACAAATCAGTAATGATTTAATGCATCTCAATTTTGTTAGGACATCCTCATGTTTGTCTAAATGCAGGAGATTATTAAGATATTCTTATGTCCTACAAGAGTTTCCTGATTGGACCGTGGCCTTATTTGGTTGAGCATGGATGACTTTAACATTTGTACTACCTTACAATATAATTTCCAACAATACCACAATATCCCTTATATTGTATCATATTTAGGGGCACCCTTAAATTAACTTGACTTAATGTGTCCGTTAGGATGAATATGAATAAAGAGGAAGTTTCTGTTCCCCTTTGTCGTCAGCACACATGCTAAAGGAAGAGGAGTGAAAGTTCTCTCTTTCTCCCCCGCAATCTGAAAGGTCAAAGACGAAGAAAATCCTGTCTCTTTCCACTGAGCTGTATAACAATCGTCTTGATAACGCAGCATCCATCTCTCTGCTCTTGTGCCAGCAATCATTTGCTCGCTGTGTGGGATGCAGACAGTTGAGAACTGCAGTCAAAATTTCAGAAAGTTTCAATCTGTAATTTTTTTCCTGTTCTAGGAAAATCCATCTCATACACATAAGGCACCTTCATTTAAAGTAGTATTGTCCCTTCTGCAAATCCTAATAACTACAGCAAACTGTATGATCATAAATACCTGTAACCGAATCAGCTAGAAAACGTTTATACTTTTTTGACTGTTATCTCTACCGTTACAATGAAGTGTTTTGGCAGAGAAGACTATCATTTTCATCTAGTCTAAACATTCCCTTGCTGAAGATTTAACTGCCGTAAAAACTGACTACAAACTCATCCATGATGTCCATCATCTTGTGTTTGTATTGAAACTCTATGCACTATGCATGACTGAGCCTGATTAGAAGTGGACAGTCAGCATTACATGTTCTTTTTTTCTTATTTATTCAAACCGTCCAAACCAAAGTCAGGGGCATAAATAGCTTGGTATAAAACCTGACATTTACCATGTTCCAGGAATAGTGCCCATAAAGCTACCATGTAAAATAATTGAAATGCCAAACCATATCCCCTTCGTATTCCCTCAGTTTTTTAACAGCCACACTTGTTTTATTTAAATTCATGAAAGGCCATGTCTGAAAATGATTGCCTTTTTTCCACTAAGAAAGGAGAAAGAAAATTCTCCCCTTTACCTCCCAAATTGTGAAATTAAGTTAAGATAGACAGCTCAATAAAGGGTCCACTGCTACACATGGCAATGATTAACAGATGTTTAAACCCTAAACATATGAAGTGTAAGGCTTCAATGGGGCGAAAGGACCGGACAGACTTGGTGCACAGATAGAAATAAAGTCTGTGTGTGCGTACTGATACAGCAGCTGATGTTCAGTCCAGAGGATTCCTCCAGAGAACTGCTAATTCTTGGACCACCATGACCCTTTTAAACTAGCATGTGAAGTCATTAATGTCCAATTTTGTCTTTGATGACATGCTGGATTAATAATGACACGGTCACGCTGGCGTGAACTTCCAGTGCATGATCTGGAACACCAGCAGGGACTTCACTGCTGGTCTTACTGCGCAGCAACTCTGCCAGAGTCAAGTATTCTGCTCCCCTGTGAGCTTTTGTCCATACAGTGCTTTCTGTAGAAAACATTCTGTAGGAAGTATCCTGTGTGATTACTGTATATCTTATTTAATGGCAGAGAAAGCAGAGATTGATGCATTATTGAGACAGCTTTATAATAATAGGCCCTTCTGTCACTCCCATTTTTCCATTATCTTGTATATCTAATGTCATCTTTAAAATATGGAGTTAAATTTTGCCCCTTTCTGCTTCTGTCCCAGAATTGATTGTGCGGGGATCCTGAAGCTGCGTAATTCGGACATTGAGCTTCGCAAAGGGGAAACAGACATCGGACGTAAGAACACACGTGTGAGATTGGTGTTTCGAGTGCACATCAACCAGCCCAACGGCAGGACTGTGTCCCTGCAGACTACTTCGAACCCCATTGAATGCTGTAAGTCACACACACTAACACAGAAATATACTCACAAGCTGGCATGACTTTTCTCATGGTTTTCCATTTAAGCAAAAGGTGGCATCTATTGTTTTAATCCAATAAACTGAGTTACTGTTGTATTACTTGCTGGAGCATATTCAGCGCCTCTGCACCCAATAAGCGTTATATGATCAATGCAATTTGCCAAGGCAATAGATGCAATGTACATGATGCCAGACACACGTGTTATCTATCTCAGTTCACATTTTATGACTGAATGCACAAGTTATTGTGGTAAGACTACGCCATTAACACAGGTTCCACAAAGGTCATTTGCCAGCCCCAGTTTTGGCATGGTTGAATGAGCACATTGAAAGAAACCTCTGTTTCTTTGTCATTCATTTGTGTATATAGGTGTGATGTTATTTGCACCCAAGGAAGCCAATTGAAGTTTGATGGTGAGACGGAGCTGGCATTATAGTTTATGGTCCAAAGTTGATGTTAATCCGAGTTGGTTCATTGTTACAGAGAAGGTTTATTTAGTGAATCTAAGATTTCTTTACTGCTTTGGTTAGCTCCTATTCTAAAATAAAATATATGCAACAGGATAATAGATGAAATGCACAGCTATGTGATAATAAATGTATGTGTCTCTGGCTGTGAATCTGGTTACCAAATCCCAGAGGCTAGAGGTGACCAGCTATCCACATTTATAGAAAGCAGAGACAGGTGGTTGGCTGCAGACTACTTGATGGAAAATCATGACTAAGGATTTGACCATGAAAATATTGTTTTGATCCGTTGTTCACCTTTTTCAATGTCATTTAAAGAGCAGCTGCTGGCTGAAAATCCCTTAGCTAGGGGTCATGAAATCATAATAATAAAGTTGATAAGCCTGTTTCTCTAACCAAGAACTGCTGTTTTACTGGCTTTGTGCTGGGCTTGTGCTTCTTGGTGTGGATGGAGATCAGGCGAGTGATCTTATGTGGGCTCACACACTGTATTAAAATATGTGTGTGTGTGTGTGTGTGTGTGTGTGTGTGTGTGTTTCTCTCCTACAGCCCAGCGATCGGCTCAGGAGCTTCCCTTGGTGGAGAAGCAGAGTGTGGATAGTTACCCTGCTACCGGAGGCAAAATGATGCTCCTGAGTGGCCTCAACTTCCTCCCCGACTCCAAGGTGGTGTTTGTGGAGAAGGCACAGGGTAAGCTGCCGTCACCAAACCATGGGTACTGCCTCTCAATTTCCCCTCTTAATGTCTCTTTCAAATGTCTGTCTCCCTCTCTGCCTCCGCCGCGTTTCCTCAGTCTCTCCTCCCGTCAAAATAGAGCAGGCTTTGCCAGAGAGCCACATGTGGTGTGCATTAAGCCACTATATTTTTAACCAAAGCGTATTTACATTTGCTGAAATTTCCATTGCCTTTTCACTGGTGCTCGCCACAAATTAAGGAATGAATCACAACCAGGGCATGTGCGATGTCCCTTTCTCTCACTTTCCCTCTCTCCCTCAGTGTCTCTCCCTCCATGACTCCCTTGCTTTTGACATTTAACCCTTTCACTTACTTTCACCACTGTTACTCCCTTTTCCACCCATTCTAGCAGATACTGTATGTCACTGACTCATGGTTAAAAGGCCATTCCTTTTTTTTTTTGGTCTAGATTTTTCGACCATTACACCCTGTGTGGGAGGGTGGTGCAAACACCACTGATCAAGTTTGCAAATGAATGATCATTTCCTTGATTGCACCCACTAAATCAAACCAAAGGTCAAGCACATTGATACCTCTGAAGTCTTTTGAAACACAGTGCAGCTGCTAATGATGGTGATGAGCAACACGTAAGGAACGATAAGGGTGGTAGATAAAGGACGTATCCTATTTCTGATAGGATGCACCAACTGATTAATCATAGATATAATTTGTTGTATGGGTTTTGGGTAAAAACCCCTATTTACACACAAAAATACATGCCACTTTTTCCAAAATCATCTTCACTTTTTTTCCCTTCCTAGACCAAGGTCACCAAGAGGTTAATAATTAGAGTAGTGAAATAAAAAATAAAAACAGACACAACATACCTCTAATAGATAACCTTCTTTGCATCCATCAGTGGCTGATTTAATTAACTTATTTATTTATTTTTTATACACCCCCAAGTCTGTAGGTTATCAGTTGATTTATGTGGAAGGTAATAGTTGGTTAGATTAAAACACCTGAACCCTTCATCATTGATTCAATTATGCTCACCCAAACTTAAGTCTCAGAATTTGGTGGGAAAAGACGGGCTTCAATCATTGCTCAGTTTCCATCCAGATTTATAAAAAATAGTTTTTAAAATGACCTCAAAAAATAAGACAAGCTAAAAAAAGACCATTTCTTGCTCTTCTTTAAGCTTATGTCTCCGTATGTCACCTCAACTTTAGAGTACTCTTAAGCACTTCAGGAGTTAACGGATGGGCATAGATGACGTAAGGGGAGGTGGATGAACTTGATAATACGGGGTCTCCCTCCTCTTGGTTTTACTTAGTCATGGAGGGGGATCCCCTGGAGAGGAAAATCCATACATACACAACACCTTAGCCTCACCACCTCTTGCCATTTGAGACTCCTGACCCCTTTTGGGTTGTATTGCCCTTTTTTCACCCCCTCTCCCTCTTCCTCTCTGTCTACCTTGGGTTCCATGTTTCCTCCATTTCTCTCTTCTCACCCCCTCAGCCTAACCCTCCATTTGTCTTACCTCTATCCTCGATACCTGTTAAAGACATTAGCTGGTGTGGAGCTGTGCTCTAGCGGAATCCCCTCACTCGTGCCTGCCATCGACATTTCAGTGGTTTGTTTGCTGTCTCTGTGGTGTTGAGAAGGAGAGAGAGAGAGAGAGAAAGAGAGGTTGTCTGTCTGCTACTTAGTCTGCTTTTATGTAAACTTTAATGACCCACCACTTCCAGGGTCTCCTAAGTCAAAAAGCCCATTACAGACAGACCTACACACTCTGAACACATGCAGACACTGGAACACACACACCACTCACTAATGGCAACTATCTATGAGCAAGTACGAGTGTGGAAAAGTACTTATTTCCCAAATATACTGCAAATAATTGTCTTTTGGCATTTTAATCAGAGAATCCTGCTGTTTCATGAAGGTTCTCAGACTTAAAAAATTTCTGATTGTTGATTTAGAAGGCCCAAAACTAGGATGAGGAAAAAGAGAAACCAATAAAATTATAATTATATTACAGATTTATTCTATAACATTAGTTTTATTTTCCTCTGGAAAAGTTCATGACTAAATGCACCCATGAAATACAGAGCATTGCACCGCAATAATTACTACTCGCAGACATGTGCTTACACACACAGTTGGACACACACATGCGCACATACAGCCAAGCTCTTTGTACAGCACAACACCAATCACTACGTTTGCCATAGTGGTGACAGCCATTACTGTTGCTGCCATCAAAGGTCGGGATGGCTGCTCACTTTCCAAAATTGACTCCAATAAACACCTTCCAGAAAATTCCACAAATCCTAAGGAGCAACAGACAGTTTTTGAGTGTCCCAATCCAACTTATGTGAATAATTATATACAGTTAAAATCATCCAAGTTGAGTCAGAGGGAGATCACACACAGCACAAAAGCCTATTAGCACAAATGAGACAGCCATAAATCAAAAATACATGTATTTCTTTAACTGTTTCCATTTGCTTTTACTCAAGGATGTAGCTGCTTTTAAAACAAACATACCAAGATGCCTGTTTTTGAATTGCAGATATCAATTCATTACTGAACTCTAAATGATGAATGACATGTCTCAACATTTGAGAGATTGTCCCACTAACATGTTACTAGTGATGAGAACAGAGATCCCCAAACCTCCTTAGCAAATCATTAGCACCACTGCTTTGTGTTATCACTTTAGTTTACACTTGACCCTGGCCACAGGCATTATCTTTACAGTGCGAAAATACTACATTTATAAACGTCAGCACACCTTAACTGGGGATTCATGAAACAGCTACCAGGGATGAATTTGCACATACAGGCGATGGACGCTAAAAATAAGTCTAATAAAAGGCAGATAAATAAAGTTAGCTACAGCTTAATATTTGCTCAATTTTAAGTTGAACATTTGAAAAGTACTTTTTTTACATTTTTGTTCTAAATATTTTATTAATATTTATTATACATACAGTGGTAAGTGCTTTAATAGTTATGTTATCTATCTTTATGGGAAAGTAAATAAATGGGACAACCTTCTAAAACCTACATATATGGATTATTTGAACCTGTTGTTCTTTTAAATCATAGTTCCCTTCCTCTGCCACTTTAATCATCCTCTCCACCTCTCTATGTTGTTTTGATTGTCTGTCTGTGCCCCCCTGAGATGTTCCCAGTATCAAATGAGCAGAGCTCATAGCTGTTGCCACTGAGGGAAACCTTGAAAAATAATTACTTCTGCTTTTCAAATGCCACGTCCATCCCCACTGCTCCACTTCGTCACCCACAAGATAACTGATGCAAACTCTGTGCATCCACTGCATGTGCATGTGTGTGTTTGTTGTTGTGTACATTTGTGCGCACTATTGCTGCTAGCCTGCGGGCCTGTTTGCGTTGTTCAGTAGGAAGTGTTTTCAGTGAGTCATCCGTGAGGGATTCCCTGTAGAGGGATGAAACGGAAAAGACAAGACCCTGAGAGGGTAGGTACAGGGAAGAGGGAGCAGGGAGGAAGAGGAGATGAAATGAGGTGGTAGAAAAAAGACAGGACTTCCTTTGAAATCATGCTTATGACCTTGTGTACTTAGACACTGGAGCATAGAAGTGTATATAGCATGACAAATTAAAGGAAAAACCTAAATTAAGTGCCTCAGTATGGAGTCAGGCCACCATGACCCTCCAGAACAGCTTCAGGACTCCTTGCCAGGTCTGTGCAAATGTAGGAGGGATGAACACCGTTCCTCCACAAGATATGCTCCCATTTATATATACAACCTTTATTTAATCAGGTAATCTCATTGAGATCAAGATCTTTTTTTTTTTGCAAGAGAGACCAGAGTACAGCAGATAAAAAGAAAAGCAAACATATAACAAAAGGACATAAAGCACCAGACACAGTCACAGACATCACTAGATAGATTTGAAGATTTAAGTTTATAGTTTATTATTATTATTCATTATGGAGATGGCGGTGGAGAACATTGCTCCAATCTTCCATAGGTTTGCAGCTGATTTGAGAAAATGTTGTAGCATTTGACTCAAATCATTTTCATACTCACCAAACCATTCAGTAAGCCCTGGTGCACGAAACTGTATTTATTCTTTCAGTGGATGAATCGATATAACTGCTGTTGCTAGTGTTTTTAGTTCATCACAGACCACGCATAAAAGGGACAGCAGACTGTAGCTAGATAATGATAGACTCAAGAACCTAAAGTTGTTGTTTCTGCTGCAATGTAAACATTTTTGTCATTGATTTTAAATAGGCTGTATCACATTTATTCTCTGCAGTGGAGAGTCATACTCTTCACTTAGCTGCAATGTGGGCTTTTATGAAACTTTCCATCTTCTTTTGCATTGTTGTGCTTGGTAAGGTTTTTCTGTTATTCTTATTATGCATATGCGTTGAGGATGTGTCAGAGTTTGGGTTTGCCAAACCACTTTTGTGGCACCAGAGCAGGAGGACATACCTGTCGCACCTATTGCAGTGTGTGTTCTGGCTTGCCTTGCTTTCCATGGATGGAATGAGTGCTAGAGGCAGGGAAAATAGAGAGAGAGAGAGAGAGAGAGACAGACAGACAGACAAACAGAGAGAGAAAGAGAGAGAGAGCTGGGGAAAGCCTACACTCTGACTCAGAGGGGAGGTAAGGGAATTCCCTGGTGAGCTGGATAGTTTTTACATCTGGTGGGATTGGAGCGTTGCCTGGAGCTCAGCAGCACCACACAGCCTGGGCTGCAGCAGGGAGAAGTCTGGTCTTTTCCACCTCTGCTCCAGGCTGGTCGAGCTCATAGCCAAGACTAAGAGAATTCTGAGCTAGAGTATAATCTGTAACATTAGGACAGCATAGTCCACAACAATACCCCTAGGCTATTTCTCTTCTCATGTGGAAACTCCTCAGCAACAGGCTGAAATATTTGGATTCTCATACCTTCATAATTCGAGGAACACAGGCCTTACAGACTGTGATCTGTACTGTTATTTTTTATTCAAAGACTGTTTATACTTTGTTGAACACTTCTACCTTGGGCAAGTCTAAACACCAGACACGCTGGTCGATGTACTTTACTTCTAGCGGTATGTCTAGACTGCCCCTTGGCTTTAGGCTAAGATAACCCGATAATCTTGGCTCGTAGTTTTGGCACTATGGTAGTGTAAGGTCAATCTCCACCCCTGCTTCAGGCAAGTAATTAGATATGTATGAGTTACAGTATCCTGTCTAATGTGGATGGAATACTGCACCAAAATTAATGATTATGTATAATTATTGTAGTTCTAGGAGGAAACCTCTAAACGAGGCTTTAGAGGCTTAACCTCTTTGCATCTTTGCCATCCCCCTGAAATCCCTGAATTTAGTAAGCATTAACTACTGCATGTCTAAGGCTGTACCAATGGGACATTAATGAGTCAATCTACCCAAAAGAGCAAGCCATAACATAGAGTATTGGAGGATTAAAGGGTGCATCACTGCACTCTTTAATGACATTAATTTGGATAGGTTAGCATGTATTATATTTCCAGCATGTTGATCCATAAGGATGCATAGTTAAACCTGTTGTGTCCTGTTATAGGGTGAAGCTTATGTCAAAAAAGAACTGAAAGCTTGCCTCAGTTTCACTCTCAAAGCCTCCGGCTCATTAAAATGTACAGCTCCAGTCTCAAATTTGGACACACTCTATCATTCAAGCGAATGGGAAAGTGTGTCCAAACTTCTGTATTTCTTTCATGATGTAAAGATTCATCAGCAACAGAGCAGCGCACCATTTTGGAATGCCCCTGCTTTGGGCACGTCTATTTATCAAAGAAATTGGTTGGATCATATCAGTATCATAACAGAAATATGTCTAGATTGTCCTGTGGCCTCCACCCTTTCTTCAGACTCGCCTGAACATGTTATAGCCAGATAGGTGGTTCAAATCAGAGAGAGACAATTGTTTCAATTGCCCTTTTTTGGGGCAAGTTTTAAGGAACCCTACATGTAATAATAATATAATATACTGGATCTTGATGAAACGTTGCTCAATGAATTTGTCCCATTTGTCTGTGACCAGTTAAGGAGACCATGGACAAACACCAAAACAGCTTCTTCCTAAACTCCTCTTCATCATAAGTTTAAGTTGAGGATTTGAAAGGAAGGGTCTTAGGCTGTTAACCCCGGGCTGTGATTTACTGTGCAACACACCATGGAGAGCAACCTACCTTGATGCCTTCCTTATGAACACAAATATTATACAAATGTAAAAGTCTGGATGATCTTCCAGCCATCCATCTCAGTCTTTAGATCATTTTCAGCCACACAGCTTGAGTCTAGATAAAAGGATAAAAATCTGACTCTTTCTGCCTGCCATCCTCCTCATCCTGCACCCACGGGTCAAGTCAATTCATGCTTTCCCTGTTATACACTCAGAATAACTCACTTCCTGCCTATAAACCCATCACAAATCTACTGTCAGGTCACAATTTACACAGAAGCCTCTCAATCTGAAGCAGACCCGCATTTCTCCAATTTCACCAGTCTTCAGATTGGCAGAGGTCAGGTGCTTCTGAGAGGAAAGTAGCTGTACCTCTGGGATCAGTCATGGGGGAACCCCTTTGGCCTTTTGACTTTGTTCCTCATTCGACAACAAGGTAATTGCCGTGAAAATATGTGTAAAATCACTGAAGCATTTTTAGTCCAGGTAGCAGCAGCTAGAAGAGTGATGCTAAAATGGAAAATAAACGTGATGTATGTAAACAGGAAAGAGAGAAAAATACTCCTGAAAATCATCTCTGGAAAAGAGATAGGGCTGCAAAATGCATCTGGGTTGTTTCACAAGACAACCTCCGCAATTAAGCATGTGAATCATATTTTCCTTTCTCAAAATACTAACGTGAACTCTCTTTGGTCATTGGAAGTTGTTTTGCTCTACACAACGCTTATTTGAAGGAAAAAATCACGTCTGGAAAGCCAAAACCTTTGTGAGGACAAGTATGTAATTTCTCATCTATCTGTGGCTTTGCAAGAAGAGAAAAAACTAATTGGAAGATTTGTAAGATCTAAAAAAAAAAAAAGAAAAGAAAATAGTTTGCTTAAAAATATAGTTGGCATTTGCAGTGGTTTTCTTTTGATGATGGCCAACTAGAGTTTACACCAAGTGGAGGATATAATCGCTTTATTCTTATCCAAACTTCAGCCAATTTATATTTTGATTTGTTTTTGTAAGATTTACTACAACAGCAACACCGTTGCCATGTTGTCACCATGTTCATAACATCATGTGTTGTCAAGAATCGAGGAATTGATGACTACAAGAAGCCTCACCCTACACATTGTCTTAATTGCCTGATGAATGACTGTGTTGTCCAGGTTGTCTCTGTTGGTGTTAGTCTTCGTGGATCTTATTTGCGTGTGAGTCACGTAGATCAGTCAGACAGATGGTTGATTTACCTTCAAGCACAAAGCCTAAGAATAAGTGTGTGTATTTGTCTGTGTGCTTGAATGTGTCCATACATTTCTCAGTTTAAATGTGAGGATTATGGCAAGACTTCTCTAGACACAGCTCCTATACCATCTATTGTTTTGCGTTTCCCCTTCTTATCATTCAAATTGAAGGCTTGGAACAAAGGTAGAGGATATTGTGGCTGCGTGTGTGCATGTGCCTGCATCTGTGTGTGTGCATTACGTGTGGGTGGAGGCTGCGTGAAGGAGGAGGTGTTGTCGGGAACAGAAGCATTTTGCAGATGTTGCAGGGAAGAAGGAGTGAATGGAAAGTTCTTCGGTTATCCGTCGTACAGCGCTCTCTGACTCGCAAAGGTATGCCACATGTGGCCCCATCCCAAGTCCGTCTCAGTTTTAGATTTGTAAAGTCTGACGGAGCAGTCATTAGTTGATAAGTTGACTGAGAGGTATTAAAGGGAGAGAAAAGATTGAAAGAAAGGTAGAGATAGAATGCATGGTAGAAAAGTTTGAAAAACATGTTTACTAGAGGAGGTTGGGGTTGACGTCGCAGTCTAAGGTTTCCCTCTTGGAGTGTCTCCCAGAGCAGAGGCGGTTGAGATTCCCTCTTGGTTCCCCTAGACGTAACACGAGGAACGCTCATCTCTCTTTGTCTCTGTCTCAATCCCTTTCTCTGACCTTCTCCCAGTCTGTGCTTATTCTAATTGCCCTTCCATAACCTTAGTAACTTCACAGCACACACATGTGCCTTATTCTTTTAAGAATCTCAATTGCCTGCTAAATGCACAGTATCGTTGTTGTGCCCTATGGCAGTCCTGTAGGCGTGCTTCTATTCCCCACATAATCTCCGTTGCAGCGAGGCACATTTCTCCATATGCAACTCTTATTTCCCCCAGTTCAAATAGAAAACCCTTATCTGATCTGTTCACCGTCTGTTTTTCTCTTTCCCTGCGTTTTAATATGGTCATTTTGGAAACCGATATCTACTGATGTTCATTTTCAGAATGAAACTGCCACTGCCACAGCTCACCAATAATTAGCCAACTGTGACTGGGTTCCTTTATTCTGTCAGTGCATGATGTGAAAAACATAATGCCTTGGGGAAAAAAACAAAGGATTTACATCTTCCAGAGCTGCTACTTCTGCTATCAGTTATTTGGAAGCTAACTCCGATTATCTTATCTGATAGCTTCCTGTCAGAGAAGCAAAGTGCATTGTTCCAGCAGTGACTGTATTGCTGTATCCATAAAAGCACAGCTGCTGCCCACCCCCGCTAACATACAGTAGCAGTGCCACAGTGGCCATGCTATTGCTTCACATGGTGTGCCACTGACACAAAGGCTGTTCTGTGTCACTTCTATTTCTGACAGCCCTAATGAGTCATTGGTTCTGAAAAAAGGAAAGAAAAATGGCACTGTGGTCAGTGCTGATTGCCCTAGCAGAACCCAGAGCGTCTGTTCGCTAAGGTGTGGCATGAAATTGCAGAAAAACCCCAAAGAATGTGAGCTGAGCTTCTGCAGGCTCCCAACAGCTGCAGTAGCTCACAGGCCTTTTATTGCGTGGCAGCAAGGGAAACCTCCTTACCACAACAAGATGGAGATGAGAAGAAAGACAGAACAAAGAAAAGCTGCAGAGTTTTTGGTTGTTTTTTTTGTAATTTCACAGAGTGGAGTTAAGAATAGAAATAAGGAGGATAATCTAATCAAGTATTTAATGAAGGGACAAAAATAATGAATACTTTAATTGAGATAGACTCTGAATAAGAGAGTGGACAGCCCCAGTTGAAGATCAGAGTTTAAACAGACAAAACTTGTTACTGTCACTGACTTAAGGCTGCAATACATGCTTAACATCATAATAATGTTTTTGATTCATTGTAAAATAATCACAAATGCTCATCACAACTTGAAATCTGAAGACTTTAATTTTTCAAAGACTTAGAGAAGCATTTTACATTTAAAGGTTCAGTGTATGAGTTTTAGTGGCATCTAGTGGTGAGGGCTGCAAATTACAACCAGCAGCTCACAGTGCATTCACGTGCTCTTCGGATGGTCCCATTTCCCGAGTCGTGAAGTCGTTCTTCCGACTTCCGCATGTGTTCATGTGCTCTTAAGTTGCAATGTGGAATCAACATGGAAGCCGCTACAAAGATGTGTTGGATTAGCATTTTCAGAGCACATAAATAACACCCCCCGCGACCCTAAGTGGTTGACGATGGAAGAATGGATGGATAAACAACACCCAGACATCTAGTTTACTCTACATTGCCAGCAAACTAACCGTTCTAACCTTATTACAAATTACATGTTTGCAAAATATGTTTATGCAATACGAAAAGAACCCAACTCTTCTTTACCAATACGAGTATCACGTCTTGTTTGTATAATGATGTGGTTTTATAATGATTATTATAAATATTGTATTTTATTCTTTTGGCAATAGATGGGCATCATATCTGGGAGACAGAAGCCAAAGTTGACAAGGACTCCGTCAAATCTGTAAGTGCACCTCACTTCAGTCCCACCCTCCCTTGACACTTGCTCCTTTCCTCTCTCTGTCTCCTCCTCATCTGTCCCCTGTAATGATGTAACCTGTGCTAACGCGTTGCAAGTTGCAACATAGACAATGATGATTAGCCCATGCAATCCTGAATGGAATTTTCACAAAAACTCTGTACCCTCACTGAGTAAACAGGGGCTGTCATATTGTTTTTGCATCTCAACCACACACAAAAACACACACGCACACACACACACACACACACACACAGATTACAACATGAAAGTGTAAACACACACACATATATGCACTTAAACTGAACTTCAACACGTCACACCCCTGCTTTTACCTGCAGCCTGTAATGAGAAAACAAACCAGTGCAGTCATTTTACTGGCGCTCAGACACACATTCAGATTGTGTTAATATAAAATGGAGGAAAAGGGAATCATCTAGAGAGGGAATTAACCAAATGTTGTTCTGCATGTCACAGAAAGCTGGTTCTTCTCTGGAGTTAATTAAGGTTTCACTGGATCTGTGAAAAACCTGTTTGCTGACGTGTGATGACAGTATGTTTTAATTTGCTGATGCCTTTCAGCTGCCCCCCCCCTACTCTTTGTTGTGTAAACTAACCAAGGTCTAAAATAAACTACACGCATCTAAATGCTGCAACTTAAGAGTGTTTTTTTATCCTCGCAGTTGCTGTTATTTCAGTCAGGTAAATGACTTGGTTGCATTAGGAGGGTAAATATGGACCCTGATGTCTAATTGGCCTGCAGGTCTGGCTGATGTGCTATGGATGGAGTCCCGGACGCTGGAATATTAGTGGGCGTGCAAGGCTCGGCTGGGGGCAGCGGTGTGAGGAGGCGTGGTGGATGAAAGACAAATACAGCAGTGTGTTTATTTGTAGATCCAACAAACAAGTAGGGTGATACAGCTGGAGAGCACTGGCCTTGTTCTTCTGTCAGTTGTCACTAGATTACTTTAATTTGCTTCAGCCTGCCTGCTGGACTTTTTTTATTGCTATCCAGAGTGTGCTAACTTTCATTGGTTGGGATGGTAGGGAAAGCCGTGTGCGCACACACACGACACACTCAATCATCCGCCTGCATGTTTTTCTTTTTGTCTGCATCTGGATGGCAGACCTGGCTGAGGACGCAAAACCCCTCACCTCTACCCCGCCACCCCATGGTTCCCTTCATCCACAGTGATGACCGACAAAAACCGGCTTCCTGTTAAAGTACCCTGCTCTGGCCCATTTAGGCCCCTGTGAGTGACAGCCATCCCAGGAATTAGACACAAACACACAAATTATCTCCATGTTCCCTTGTCAGCAAGAAAGCAGTCTAAAGTTCACATCCATCCAAACAGGTCTGGGGGTGCGCTCCACAGGGAGGCATGGCTGTGCAAAGAAATACGCTCCTTTCTCCTCTCGTGCTGTACGGCAAAAGCCCAAGGGTTTTCCTCAGAGACAAACACGGGCAGTGGACCAACCTCATGGTCTCTACTACTGCATCTACACAGTCCAGACGAGCTAATTTAGACCAATTCCAAGTCCAGCTTCTTGGAAACAGTATCCTAAATGCAGGCCAGCTGCTAAAAAAAACAAAACATAGCTGTTGATTAATATGCTGCATGAAGTGCACAGACTGACATTTGGAGAGTGACATCATATCATATGAGTAAATACAACTAAAAGAACAATTATTTTTTGTGGTATCAGCAGCTGTCTTTTCATATAAAGGTGGAATATCTTGTATTTTATTCGTATTTTAGAATGCTGTTGTTGTGGAGATCCCGCCATACAGGAACCAGAGAATATCCAGCCCGGTGCAGGTTAACTTCTACGTCTGCAACGGCAAGAGGAAGAGGAGCCAGTACCAGCGCTTCACCTACCTGCCTCCTAATGGTAACCATCGTAAACATTTCCCACATTTTTATTACCAGTGACATTGAAAGACATGTAGGCTTTTCACAGGCTGCACACTCTGCTCTCATCATGTAGAGCATTTCTCCAGGTCTTGACATATAGTTTACCGCAGCCGTCAACAAGCCATGTGGAATTTGTTGAGAGTTTTTGGTTGGTGTTTTTGACATTATGCCTGGCATCACTTGGCCGCAGCCTGTGAGTGAGAGCAGAAGATGTGAGGTGTGTTTATTCTGTAGTGAGACTACGTTCCCCAGCGATGAGGTGTATCTGCTGAGTGACAGAGCCTCCGAGCGCTGTTGATGTAGAGAAGTCAATCCCACGGCGACCTGACTTTCACACCCCACCTCACACAATGCCCCCTCCCCCTGCTTCACCAATACACCTATGAATGCACAAATACAGATCCACGTGCATGCACACACACACACACACACACACATACATGCATCTACCAGGCAGTGCTTGGCCCTGTCATTCATGCAGCAACCTGAAAACCCAGGAATACCTCTGTCTGTGTTTATCATGTGTCCCTGGCCTCACTGTTTATATATGACTTCACATTGGAATTTCAAGAATGTATTGCCAAGAGTTTAGGAAAGAGTTCAGCCTGAAAATTACATTGACTTTTCATTATGGGTGCAGGTGAACTACCAGCTTTGGTATCACTTTCAACCATCCGGGTGGGTAGGATACTGTCATTTTGTCCTTATGTATGCAGAGAAAGCTCTTCTTTCAGCAAAACAATGCTTGAAGTTTATAGTGCCAAAGTCCTATGCTGTTGCCTGTTGAGCAGCTTTACTGCAGCAGTTGGGAGTTCAGTACCTTTCTTAAGGCATATATAACATTTCTGGCACCTGAATAATAGTTCCTGCAGGCGGGTTTAGTGATGCTCCAACTCCCACAGATTTCCCTCCCCCCACATTGTCCCAGCTGGTTTATAGATTCCAACCAGTAACCTTCCATTTACTCCCTATTTGGAGACGCCTGATTATATGATGAACGGGTGCATTATGGGTAACTGGACCAGTGTGGGAGAGACAATCTGTGGCCATATACAGTATAACATATCCATTTCATATGCTGTACTTCCAGAGGAAACGAGAGAGAGAAAAAGAGATGAAGAGCCTTATCAGCCTCTGCTACGCATCTCTAAGTCATTTCCCTGAGCATAAACACAGCTCTAATTAAAAGATGACTTGTTGTGTTCTCGTGTTCTCTCTTTTACTGCCAAGTAAACCACAAGTACAGTGTGGACCACACAGGCAGGGCCAATGTCTTCTCAAAGGAGCATAATTAACTCACAAGTGTTACAGCCAGAAAGACCACGATTCACAGGCTATTGAGTTCTATTTTGAGATTTACCACCTTTTGAAAACACACATTTAAACATACAACATAGCATCTTTCTAAAAACAAATATTCAGTCTTTAAATGAAAGAGGTAGCCTACTCCACAATACATGGAGTGTAATATTGCAACTGTACTGGATAACTACCAAGACAGAACTGCTCTGGGTGCAAAAATAATCTCGTCTCAGTAAGGAAACCGCTTGGCGACACCAAAAAACATAATATCTCTGGTGGAGTAACTTTGCAGCCAGTTGAAGGCAGAGTTGCATCTTGCTATACGCTGACAATGAGATTTGAATACTGTATAATAGTCTAATGTGTCATTAGAGAGTTTGAATACTTTAGTCATAATGGCGATGGCATTATGCTAGCTGGCGTAGTGACTAATCAGTACTCACTAACTGAAAATCATTCACAAAGAATACTGGATAAAGGATATAATCAGTGTAAATAGACCCTCTGTGGCAATGATGACTGTAATACATTCATGGTTTCAATAAAGCAACAAAGAATGAGGAAATCCTAGTGAAGCTGTTTGCTTTTGAGGGTTTCAGTATGTGTGTGTGTGTGTGTGTGTGTGTGTGTGTGTGTGTGTGTGTGTGTGTGTCAACACTGAGAGAAACAACCAACATTGTGGCCAGGTACTCGGGGTGGGCTGGGGAGGAGGACACCCACACACATACACACAAGCACGCTGTTGTCAACACTTACTTGCTTGTGTGTATGAAAAGACTCTTCCGGCCCGCTGCCCCACTTCAAGCACAGTTGTGGTCACTGACGTTGTTTAGAGAGAACATTTCTTTCACACTCTCATCAGGGCCGGTGTCTTCTCATCTATAAAAGGCAAACCCAACCCTGAAAATAGCCTGACTTGTTTGAAACAGCGGAAGGATGAAGCAAACACTCTCTGGGACACAGATGTTAGTGAAACCACCTTTATTTTCCATTCAGGTCATGTGACCACCTTGTTATTTTTTTAAACCGATGCGGTTAGCACCTACTGTGGCTGAACACGCATTTGAAGAACTAAACACACAAAAAAGTATGCTTTGCTGTATGTTCCCCACAGCTCAAATCACGCAGACTTTATTGTTAGATTGGTTATTGTTGGTAGATGTGTATTTCTTTGCAGCTTTGTGAGTGAACAATTTGTGCTTTTTAAGTCCTCGGCTACTCTCAAAATAAGAAATAAAGAGTTATTCAAGTCAAGCATAGTAGCTACAGTAAATATATTAGGGATTACAACATCAGATCATAGACATGGTAAAAATGCTAGAACCGTCAAAATAAACTATTTTGTATATTTGGAAGTATGAAAAACCAATTGATAAACTCGGAAATAGCAATTTGTAGACTACCAAGTCCACTGTAGTACATTTATTTCTGAAAATAAAGTCCTTTTTTTAACTGATCAGACCTACTCTCCTGGAAGTAGCCATTAAAATAAAGATCAACCTGTTCCATAGATATTATAAAAACTCATTTTAGCCCCTTAGTGCAAAACTTCTCATAAAATATGGAATAGCCTTGCCTTAGGGAAATTTATGACCACCAATGTTCAATTGGTTAGTATTATTTTACAACATATTATCTACTTTTATGTGGGCATTATACAATAAATCTAATTTTAACATTCAGTCCAACACCTTTCAGGAAGGGTGGGGTAGCCTAGCCTTTGGCAGATGTAATGTGGGTTCAATTTCTGACTCACGGGTGAGGGTCATGTCTCTTGCTTACATCCTCATGTCATTTTTATGTATTTGGGAGATTGTCACAGTGTAACTAACTATCACATGATGCTTCTAAACACAGTACATTAGCGATTCCTCTCTGCGTCCTCTGCCCTACAGCTGCTCAGAAATGGTAGTAATGCTGCTTCAGGTCTGACAGCCTGCCATGGGCTACAAAATATACTCTATGGCAAAGTCCACAGTTTGCCTTGTACTCATTCCCAGCACTGACCAGACCTACCCACTCGTGGTCCATCTGCCATTCAGACCTGTATTGGGACAACCGTTTTCTTTTTGTGGGCAGACTTGAGCTGGAGGCATTCACCTTCATATAAAGAAAAAGGTGCACCTGAGTCTTTGTAACCAGGGCAACAGTGACAATGAGTGACAGCCAACTTTCTGTTCTAGTTGTCATCTATTCCTCAGTCTGATTTAGTACTTCTCCACTTTTTCTTATGAAACTATTTTGGTTTTAATATTTCCCATGTCATTTCAAGCATGTGAAACTAATGTATACTTTGCATCCCCTGTTTATTTAGTAAGGGACAGGGCATTTTAATTTTCAATATTGAGCAATCCCGTATTATTCTGGATGGGTAGCAAGCCTACTCCTACATGAAATTATAGCATACTATTATCAGATGCAGTCTGTAGTGGAATCATAGCCGCTCTCACTCTTAGTAATTGACAGACGAAGATAAGCCGAAGTGATAACAGTAGAGGGTTGCTGTAGACCTGTTGAAACATTGCCATAACAATGCATTGTGAAAATAAAACCGGATTTAAGTCATTCAAAAACATCCTCTTCAAAATGTGTCATTAGCACTGTGTATGTGAAAGCCACATCAACAAGATAAATACATAAAGGTATACATCTTTAAGCTATTTATGTCACATTTTTGCTGCTCATGACTTATTGAATATAAGGTGAAGGTGCCTTCCGCCAATGGATCAACAACAACGGATATTTTGCTGTTGAGATATACCATCAGCAGCATTTTTGGCTTGCTTGTCAAGCCTAAGTGCTTGTCTGTGATGTTGAGATGTGCGTACAGTACAAATGTCCTTGTCTGGCTCCCGGAATGAGTCTCGCTTTTCCAAGCTCTCTTCCAATCATTCTTGCGTGAGTAGCGACGTGACGTGTTGCTCTTCAAATAAGAAACAGTTTTCACCAACCACATTAAACAACAAACGCCAAAAAAGTGCTGGCAATGGCCGAAGCTTGAGCAAAGAACTTCTCGGAACCCCTTTATTTTTACAAGCCGTTTGGAGATTCCTCTGTAATATCAAGTTCTATTCTTAACGCAAACGGGTGCTGACTCCCCCCGCTGCAATGGTTTGTGGTTTGAGTTGGAGTGGGGAAAGTCAGAAACATGTTCTGTGACACATGTAGGAAAAGTTGATGAACCACACATTGTTCTTTTTTGTAAATATTTGCACAGTCATGTTTTTTTTTAATTAGACAAAGACTGAATTGTTTCTGTCATGTGTACAGCTTCTGCCTTTGTGAGACTCACCTACGGTGCACTAAGGCCCACAGTATACTGGGTGACCAGATTGCCTACACAGTGGGACATGGTGCACCAGGTACCTTTGAGTTAATGAACTACCACCTGCTCCGTGTTAAATGTCACTGCAGATTTGTGCAGAACAAGATGAGTTCAGCATTTCTGCAACAAGATTATCCCTGTTTTTTTCCCAGTGTGATAATAATGTCATAAGCTAACCAACAATCATATGGTATGATACTCAGAAACTTTTGTATCCCAAAATCCTGCCTGGCCCAAAGGCTACAAGTAAAGAGGGTCAGATAATTTACAAATCTACATAAGCCCTGTGTGCTTGCTCATCCTTGTCAAATACACTGATAGAGGCACAGATACACATCTATGTCCTGATTCCTACTCCCTTCAGAGGAAACGAGCGTTCCATAAAATACCCAGATCAGGCCTGATCAGTTTAATACGAGCAGACAAAGAGGAAACTGCCAGAGACGCAGAGAAAATCCTGTGCAGAACATCAACTGTCTGTGGGCCATAACCCACAGGTTGGGAGGAAATAAAAGCCAGCTGAAGTTGGGACTCGCCTGGTGAATCTGTTTTCTCAGTTCACATACAAAGTGGAAAGGAAACACACAGATGGATCAAGCTGGAGGGAGACGACTGTTTATATCTGTAGCAGAGGAGGGAGAATCTCAAGAATAAAATGTTTGCAACTTTGAAGAAAGGCCATTAGTCCAAGTGATTTGATTTCGCCAGTCTTGCTCATAGTCAGAAGGCATACAAGAAAATAATGTTGACAAATGACCTTAATGAAAACCTTAAGCTGCAATAAACCAAACTCCTCTTTAAAAACACTCCTGTCTGTTCCAACTAGATTACAAAGTGGGGATACGAAGGACAACAGCATCCCATCCGTTCTGACCTACTGCTGATTCACCCTATTTCCCTAAATTAAATTGGTTATGGTCACAGGCAAGAAATGTTGTGACTTGTTACATTAGATTTATGTTTAATCCTAAGAAGGGCATCCAGAGAGAGCCACAATTACAATTTGCTTTTGATTTGACTAGACAATTTGACTCTTTCATCCTGGTTTTCTTTGGTTGAGATAAACACTAACCATCCCGAACTCAAAACCATGACATCCTAAAAATATTACCATTTCTATAAAAATTTCACTCACTCATTAGTTCTTGAAGCTGAAGCTGAAGCCAAAATGAGAACATTCTCAAATTTGGTTGTGACATTTCCACATGACAACGGTGACATCACTCTCTTGGCTCCATGGCACTGTGCCATCCATTCACACTAAAGAAAAAGGCAGGGAAGAGGAAGAGAACCACTAAGGGAAGGGACTGTGGATGTAGTTCACACCATGTGACTTGCTTGCTATTCCCCAGGCTGTGGAGAGGAGGCCCGTGCATCATGGGACCCGCCTTACGATGCTCCCCCAGACACCAGGCCTGGTCCCTGGGCTCTGAAAGCACGCTGGGCTGACGTAAATGTGCTCCTTGCTACGTTATCTGTGCATCGCAGCTCAGCACCCCAGAGGCTACAGGCGCGGTTAATGTCTTTTCAGATCCAGCTCCCACAAAAATAATAACACATTGAAAAACAGGCTGTTTTTCATATCCCACACACTGTGCTCCATACATTTCAATTGCAATTGTTGCTTTTACCGTCGCAAACTTGCCATCAAAAGTAAAATTTTATGCAAACGCAAACACACAGTTTAGACAGACACCTTATTCATATTGACATCTGTACGCCTTTGAGTAAATGTCACTTGGAGCGAGTTTAGCCAAAAACTCTTAATGGTTGGCATCAAACGCTCACCACACCCATTAACACATTTTAACAATGTGTAGAAATAGAAACAGTGTGTCCATTGTGACTCAGAAGTATTTGCTATGCATCTGGGTATCTTAACACTGCCCTATTAGTTTTGTGCTGGCACACTCTGTGCATATGTACTTATATAATAACTCACCACTGAGCTTTTTAATGTAGATCCCCCTCCATCTTTCAACCCAGGCCATAGAGTTCTGTTTTGACCTTTTTAATTACTTGAAAGTTGTTTTTAGTAACTACTCTTGACATTGAACAGGAGGCATGTGATACCTGTCAGTCAGAACTAATCAGGAAACAGTGCAGACGGTATACTAGAAATTAGAAGAGAGGAGGCAGGATGATCAAGTGGGGTCTGAGGCCTGAAGCTCCTGACACCACAGGAACAGCGCTGCAGCCTCTTATGGAGCACAGGCGGCCTAATCAAAATCAAATCATCTCCTTTTTCACTCTCTCCTTCTATCTTTTGGTCCTGAGAGAAACAATTCTAGAGTGCGGAGGAAACCTATGGGTCCTGGGCTCCTTGAGCAGCAGCAGCAACAGCAGCAGCTCAGTGCTTTAAAGTAGTCTTTTATTGGATATCAGAGCTGGAGGAGAGTCCAAAGAAAATAGGTCTTATTCATTATTAGAGCCAGCTGTGGCTTTCCACACTGATGACTCATCCATTTTTCTTTCCCCCCTATTCTTTTGCTTTTTTTCATGGTGTGGTAAAGAGGGGTGGGGGGTGGAAGGCGTGGGGGTTTCTCTGTTAGAGAGCTCAGCCAAGTTGACACAGAGCCCATATCCACTGGTGGTTGTTTATTTGGATTATAGAGGGTATGGTGGCCACAATTGTGCCTGCTCACTGCTTTACTCAGCCTCACTCGTGCACTCATAGCGCCACGTGGATTCCCTGCACGTTTTTTTAATATCTCCACCTTTCTGTCTACTTTTTTCCCCCAGTGCCGATAATAAAGACAGAACCCAGTGATGAATATGATTCTCTGGGGACTGCGAGACTGCCCATGCATTCAAAGTCCTATTACGGCCAGCCCAGGCTCACTCCCATCATGCCTGTAGCCGATCCTGATGTCTGCCTGGTTGGTGGCTACCCTCCCTGCCCGCCCTGCCATGCTGCCATGCCATCGTCGTCCCCCAGCTCCAGCCCCACCTTACATGACCTGTCCCCTGTGGCCTACAGCAAGTGCCTCCCCAACAGCCCCACCCATGCAGTACAACCAGGCCCCGTGGTGCCCTCCATGCAGGAGACTCCTGGCCTCCCCAACCTCACCCACCCATCATCGCCAGACCACAACTCATCCCTAGGGATGCTCCATTCCCAGGGCAGCCCCAACCACCTCAACAGCCCAGGACCTCATGGTTATCACCCTATCTATGCCAACAGCAGTCCCTCATCCTCCCCTGTATCCCACCCTTCCACTCCCGGTGGGACTGCGGAGAGTCCATTCATTCAGGCCTACAGTCCCAGTCAGGCTCAGGCAGCAGCCAGCTCACCTAGCCTGTTACCTGAGGATGCCAGCCCCCCTTCGATGGCCATCACCGTCAAACAGGAGCCCCAGGAACTGGACCAGATGTACCTAGATGATGGTGAGTTATGAGAAACCAGGTGCACATACATTGTCTGCAAGTTTCCGCCTGATAATCGTTTGAAAAACGAGAGGCATTTTGTTTTCTAGATGAAAGCTTCTCTTTATAAGTCTCTGTCCATGCCAAAAAATGGCTGTTTACGTAGCACATTGCATTTATTTAACACCCTTTGCTTATCTGCGGGCCCCCATACATAGCCACACCTCTCAGTATTTCCTGATGAAATTGTGGCAGCAGATTTACGTCAGATTTGTTTAATTTTAGACCGGGCAGATTTATTTGCTTTTGGTGCAACGTGCGGCCCAGCTTACGTTGTCCAAGTGGCTGCTTTACTTTAAAACAGTAAATTGCCTTGATGGGACTTTGAAACAATCTGTCAAAACATCAGAGCACTGAGGTCAGCCGGGGTGCAGCAGAACAAAAACAGTGGCACACGTGTAGCGAACCAAACTGTTGACACAACGACTAATGAAGGAAGCAAAACAATGGGTAGGGGTTTCCTGAACCGAGCCATTTTTGCCCCCGTCTTTCTGGGAGGGATGCTAGGAGTCGGGAGGCAGAGGCTTTTGTTTTCCCGTCTTTTCCCCATGGAGTCAACACCATGTGGCTGTCGTCATCAGGGGAGCCTGTGGGTCACTGGTCTCCCTCTGGCAATGAAACCAGTCACACCCAAGGGACCATATGGTCGACTTTATTGCCTCCTGTGTCCATCCCACATTATGTCTCTCAGGTCACCAACCTGTTATCTGTGATAGCAGAGGCTCCGCTTGTTGTTATGACATATATGCATAGAACACATCACTGGCTTTGTGCCAGTTTGAAATGTTAAAATCCCCCTGCATCCTAATGGGGGGAGGGGCTGCACATTGAACTCAGGAATATCACCCTTCCTGTGCACCTTTTGTTCGGCAAACTGATGCAGTGTGTGTGTGTGTGTGTGTGTGTGTGTGTGTGTGTGTGTGAGTGTGTGCTTGTGTTCATGTATGAGTGTGTGCACACTTCACTCAACAGCTCTGGGAGTAGAGGGGTGATAGGCACGAGGGGACCAAGGGAGTTTTGCTGTGGAACTGTAATTGAGTTGAAATGCAGTTGTCAGCGTATCTGTCAGTCCTGATGAGTCCCGTTAGTCCTCACCTCATAAACAGACAGTACAGAGACAGGAGGGATGTCTGTCCGTTATCAGCTCTATAAACAGATTTCCAACTTTTTCGTTCCCTTCTTATTTTCTCTTGAGTTCAAAGCACTGCCGGATGCACTGGAAATGTAATTTGACACAAAACTGCTCATTTGAAATTCTGACTGACTATTAAGACTGTTTTTAATAGTTATGGCAGGCAGGAGCTTTCATTTCAGCATTAACTGAATAAAGTGAAACCGTAGCTTTATTTTGCGTTTCGTAATAAGGTTGGCAAGGGATCTTTTACACCAACAGTATGAAGATATACCAAATGTACATAGCACTGCTAAGGGTAAATCATATAACCTTGTTTCTTTTACCCACTACTCCATCCACTGTCACTTTAGCAGGCTCAATCTTTCTCCAGCCCAGTGGCCAAATGTATTCAGCCAGTGATTACAGTTGCATTAGGGACGCACAGGAATGTGTATTGATTGACCAAGGACAGTCAGGCACCCCCTTGAAAAACCTCAACGTGCTGCCGTTTTGCATCACCTAACGTCTGTGCAAGCATCTGTGGTGAGCTCCTGGAGTCCTTATAAGTGTGTGGTGGTAACAGCATACTCCAAAGGCATCTATTGCTCGCAGGCCCGGCCCCATCCCAAACCCCTCAAATGAGCCCTAAGCTAAAATAAATAAGATCGGAAGGCAGCTCACAGTGCGTCCCGCTCCCCGTCCACGCGCATTACCACTGTATGTTAGCGAGCTGATCGCTCCATTAGAGAGGGAAGACAAGTGGATGACCTCACCACAGCAGCAGTGATTTAATGCCAACCACGGAGAGCAGCGTTCCTCCCCAGCAATTGGGGGCCGGTGATTTGGAGTCTGCGGGAGCACACTTGATCTTCCTCAAGAGTGGAGCGCCTCCCACGCTCGAACGCTGAGGCCTCCGGCTCTCATCAACCAGAGGAAATGTGTCTCTCTGGCCAGGCCCAGATTTTACGCAGCCCCTGAGAAATCACTCAACTTATCAACGGTGAGCTACTGTACCGCAAGGAGCTTGGTTAGTAGGGAAGGAGTCTGAGATGTAAACCCCCCTGACTGCCATACACAGTCTCCATTGTAATCTGCTAAACTCTTCCCTCTGCTGCGATAGAAGCCTACTAACTACTGTGCGAGACATGAGCGGATGATTCTGGTGTCTGCTGTGAGGTTTTATGGGGAGAATCCAGTTGGCAGTCAGATCTATATTGGAGCAGGCATTTTCACTAGGTGGCATGTTGGCTCTCACCTGCTTCAGGCTCATTCCACATACCTGGAATAAAGCAGCAGATGAGCATGGTTTAGAGATTGGAAGCAAGAAGAAGATGAAATACCCAATATGGCTGGAAGACTTGTTGCATTGTTGACTCACTGTCGTAAACACGTTGTGGGACTCACATAAAACCAAAGTTTTTAGACATTTCGTGCAAGGCACATGACTGAGAAAAATGCCAGTCACATCAGAGTACATAACAATAGAATTTATGAAAGCATTTACGTTTGCCTCGTAAGCCGTACAAATTAAGCCAAAAAAAGAAATGCTAAAATTATAGCAAGGCTTTGTCACACGTCGGAAGTAAAATTTCTGGTGACATCATACCCCCTCTTGTCTCAGACAACCACCGAAACACATTTCCAATTAACATCAACAAACACACACGCACATGTACAATTTTGTTGTACATCATGTTTGTTTTTTTAGCATAAATGATTGTAGTCCACATTAACATTTGCTGGAATTGCAAACCCTTCGCTTGGACCCCAGGTCCTGGTGTTTTTTTGTATTTTTGCTGTGGATGTGTATGTGTAGAGCAGAAGTTGTGTGCTGGCGAGACTAGTAGTTTGGTCCTGTGAGGCTGCTGCCGTGTGTCCTGTCTCATTAGCTGCTGCTGTGATGGGTGATATCATGAAATACAGCTGAATGCAGCACACAGCAAAGGAACTAGTGCTAATCAGAGGCCCAGATTTCTACCAGCTGCCTGTCTGGGAAACAGAGAGCCCTTATTCCCCCAAATAAGAAAAACACAGAGTGCAACGCAGCCTCTACCGATTTCTGACATTTGACATATGTGCTCTGATTGCCTCGTGTTACAGGGTAGTTTTCCTTGTGATTATTTCCCCCTCAATTCAAGGTTTGTGCATTTGAAACTCCACTAGGCTTGTTTTCTCAAACTGAAAACAGAATTGTTGTCGGCCCTCCTTTCCTCCTGCCTCCGGCAACGAAAAAGGCATTCTAACCTTCCTGAGGATCTCCGTCCACCATCAGTGCTTCGGAAGGCAACTCCAGGCTTTCCTCATGGAAACTTTTACACATCCTGGCATGTTGCCCAGACCCCAGGACTCCGCAAAACCCCTAATGATGATTGAGAGCGCGTCCGCAACGCGCTGAAAACATGCTGAGTCGTTAACATTGGAGTGTGCCGCAAGGCTGGCTCTGGGATTGAAGGAGGGCAGAAGAGAGAGGATTTGGGGGGGGGGGTTCATTAAAGTGGAGGTTGAAGTGTCTAATGGGACTCACTAAAGCAGAGCTTCTCCTGTATGTTCAAACAGTATGTATTTGTGTGTGTGTGTGTGTGTGTGTGTGTTTGTGTCTTTCAGTTAGTTGAGTCAGTGAGATGTGGAAGCACTGTAAGACCCAGTGACAGCCTATGCTTTCACAACACTCCACCTCTGACCCTCTGGCCTTTTGGGAGCAGGTCATGCTCCAGGTAATAATGCACAGAAAGAAAGGCTGTCTTGCGTTTAAGTGCAACGCCAAGAACATAGTCTCCTTCCAGACATAATAATATTGACGGGTGCGAGAAGAAGGGTGATGTTTTTTTCATTATTTATATAACAAAAAGGATGTGGACTTTTTACTATTGTTGTCATTGCTATGTTCTCATATTTGGAATCCTATTTATCTGGCATAAGTTAAAGTTTGGCCTTATCGGTGGAGTTTTATAGTCATGAAAAATGAATATGTGGCTGCAGCTGGCCTTTTAGAGTCATTAATTGCCAAAGCTCTTATTACCCATTATCAGATATTAACAGTTCTCACCAAGTACTTTAAGTGGTGTGATGATCAGTAGTGAATGTGAAGGTGTATGTTGTTCTGGTTGAGATAGAGGTCGTGGTAGAGGTTGTTATGATACTAATTGATTACCTTATACATTACTAAAAGACACAAATGTATTACTTATCTTACAAACGTGTTAACTGTAGTCAAATAACACTGGAAAAGAAGAGCATAGCCAATAAAATAAGAAAATCTTGAAAACCCCTGTAACAGCACACACTTGGAAACTTGAAGTCACTCTTGTAAAGCAGATAACAGTCTGCTTAAAACACACGTTAGTTTGTTACATAAAGTGTGGAAGTACAGTAATGGAACCCAGAGAATACTATGGCCTCTTTACAATAGAAGAGGAATACCTTTGCAGTTGAGTAGAAGTCCTCTGGATTACTGCAGCACCTTCTGTTTCCTCTTACATCTCTTTTATCTCTGTCCCATTGGCTGAACATAAGAGCCTTTAGATTCCTGGTTGTGATCAGATTTTTTTTTTTTTGCAACGCATATTATGAAACCCACTCAATTATAGACACTATTGTCCAAGATTGCTTACAGTTTAGCAAATAATTGGATCTAAGTGGTTACATATGACAGTGGCAAAGGGGTCACTGTATTAGCGCTTTGATTTTTTGCTCTTTGTGTATCCATTGGGAATATTATTCGTTTTGATAAATGCAGAGAGAGGAATCTGTAAGAATTCAGTCCATTCATTACTGCAGCTTGCTTGCTTTGTGTGTGTGTGTGTGTGTGTGTGTGTGTGTGTGTGTGTGTGTGCGCACGAGCCAGAGGATCTGGTCTGGTTTCAGTCACTCCGTCATAATATCCACAGTCACTGAGAAAGAATGTGTCTGCTGAAAAACTGCAGCTAAATTAACTAAACAAATTGGGTTTCTTTTGTGTCTGGGATCTGATACACGCACACATTTAGATGGGAGACTTTGATTTTGATTTGAATGGGTTTAGTGTTTATTTTGCGCAAATGTCAGAAATGTGTGACGCAGATTTGCTACTGTAAAGATTTATGTCTTATTTTCTTCTAAGCTGTATGAAAAGTGGACACACTGTGTGGACACTGTATGTAAGTCAGTTACCTTGCATCAGTAGCAAAGTGGACTTCAGTGTATACAAATACAGCATAATAAAGCTTCCTTCTCCAGACAGTTTTGACTGTAGTCATTAAAGCTATATTGCTCCCGTTCATCATACGTCATGTATTTCATATAGTTTCTCCTGACACAGCGGTTTAGAAGCTCGGTTTATGTGGCTCACATTCTGAGGTTTAGGAAACACGCGTTGAAAAGCCACCGAGCCACACGGATCACAGCGGGTCAGGACTCAGACAGGGCCTGTGGCTTGGCTGGAATCTCCCTGTTTACATCTGTGATCATGGAGCTACCACCTCACGCCAGACACCCTCAATTACTGAATCATATTATGACAAATGTCAGTGTGGTTGAATGCTCTGACAGGATGATCACTGAGTGAGGCTGTGAGGTTGTTATCTGTGCCTTAATGAAGGTTTTATTTAAGCATGAATCAAGCCCATATCTGCTTTCTTTTATGACTTAGATTTTCTAAAGTTAAACAAGTCAATTTACACTGTTTTCTGCGTCAGGTGTTCATAAGGCATAAGGTCTTCAGTCATTTCAGAGGTTATGATTGGATGACATTTGCTATGTTGGTTTTTTTGTGGTTAAAAGAACGACCCCAAACATTACACCTCTACTGCATTTACCATAAAACAGTCTCTCTGTGGAGATAACTGATATTGCTGTGAACAACACAAACACTGCACAGTCACAGAAACCATACATTTGCCTTGAATCTAGGATATTTCCTGCTGGCATTAAAAAGATGAGCACATGGAAAACTCATACAATCCAGGCACATTCTGAACACCAAAGTAGCACAATTCATCTGCAGAAAGACACTTTTTTTCCCTTTTTGACTCACCACAGGGATGTCTAGAGTCAGGATTAGCTTCTGGACAACATCCCTGGAGCTTTTGGGGTGTCTTGCTCAAGGACACTTAAGCAGTTTCAGATAGTTAAATGTGGTTCAAAGATGAGATCCTCCATTTGAACATAATGACCACACTGAGATGCTTGCCCCTAGCGGTTGCAGTGTTTTTGGTTGGTATTTAGGGGATGTAAATACCTGCGGCATCAGTAAACAGGAGCAGGTCTCCGTCCCAGACCACTTAATAACAGCTCCCCATCTGAAATTTGTTAGCTCAGTGAAATAGTATCCTGTAGCGACGGATGTCAACAGAGAAGTCTGATCCAGCCGGGAGGGATGGGGAAAGCCGTTGGGTTTTGCAACTCTTGGCAGAGTTTGCCGTCTCCTTCATGTGCAGATACCTCAGAAAGAATGGGGTGGGAGAGATGGTCATAAAGAGAGCGAGGAGGAGGGGGCATGAAGAAGGAAAGTCTCAGAGAAAGTGAAATTAAGATGCTGATATAAACTTTGAAAGAGTGAGAGTCCCAGTACAATCTGTCATAATTAAACCAAATGCACATGTCAGTTACTGAACACAGGCAGGTTAACATAAAATGCAACTGTCAGAATACTAAATTTGTCTAAAACGATTATAATCTGTGTTCTTTTTAGTGTGATATCTGTTGAAATAGTTTATGGGCCTAAAATGGAGGGAGATTTTGGGGTCAGGAGATTCTCATCATCTCCTCATATCCAGGAATATTCAGCGAGCATGAGAGGAAGCAGGTCAGCCATAGAAATAAAGGAGACACAGACAGACTAAGAGACAGAGGGGAAAATCTGAGGTGGAAGAAAGTAGCACGCAATCTTGGTGATTTTCCCTGGCAGCTTCCCCCACTGCCCCTGTTCTTCACACACATGCACGCACGCACACACACACGCACGCACGCACACACTACATGCTCCTTTCACAGCTAAAACTGTTAAAACCAAAACACTAAAAGTCAAAGAAAGATAAACACAGATCACATTCTCTTCCTCTCCCACCAGTGGCCGCTTGGAGTGCTGAGACTTACCAAGCAGTGGGTGACTGGGTTTACTTCAGGGAAGGGAATGATCATAACCACTGAACTGTAAGTGTCCTACTGTTGACATATGACCCATGGCAGTTATAAACCTCAACAGGTCCCCCGACTCTCCTGATGATACTCGGCTGAGCTCACTTCCTCTCATAACAACATGCTAACAAATAGGGAAATCCTTTCATGCTCAGTAAGCCTTTTTCATAGTGTGAAGCATTGAGAGATTAAATGATGAAAGGCCACGGTGGCGCTACACAAACCTCAAAATGAAGGCCTTTAGATCAAGAAAGGCCAAGGTGCTTTTATCTAACTGCTGTTTTTTGCACTGAAATATCCCAACTTTCAAACTTTTGATGTATTCTGATCTCTTCAACACTTTATTTTAACCACCCTTCAAACCCCACACCCACCACACTTGTTTAGCATTTCTGCACAGTATATAAACACATAATGAATTGTTTATAACACACTGTAGTAGTAATTGTCCATCCATCCATCCATCCATCCATCGTCAACCGCTTATCCTGCGGGGTACACCCTGGACAGATCGCCAGTTAGTAATTGTAAATAACAATAATTCTACCAATGAGATAAATACAGACATTATAAAGACACAGTGGTAATCTTAATCCATTAATCTGTCAATGTGTTAATGTAACACCAGTTACAAATGCTTCAAAGAAGAAGTTGTGTTGAACTGAAGTATGTAAATAAAAAACCTTATATCTGCTTACAACTACATTGTAGTGTGCTATGAACCATCTTAAATGTATTTTAGTTTAAAGATTATTAATGCTAAAAATAGGGGGATAAAGGTAAGTGGTTAGTTAGGGTGTGAAAAATCCTTCTGTTTGGTATTTTTTTAATCGCAAAGGCATCCATCACAACGTATGAACAGTTTTAAAGAGTGCTTTATGAGAAAGTGACACTGTTGTTTTTTATGGCCTGACAGTGACAGCTTACTTTCTAGTTAGACTCAGATCCATCGGACCTTCTAGTACTTGAAGACAGGACAATTTTTTCCGCTCATGCTGTAAATCAGCCGTAGCAAATCTGCGGGGAGCTTGAGTTGGAAAGCACGGCTCCCAAACCCTGCGTGAATGAAAATGTCACGTACATTTTAATTGAATCAGTTAGATTTACTGCATCAGAGAGTAAAATAGCAGGCTCTTGTTTCTGTTAAGGTATTTAAGTGGCAGGTTCACTCCCTAAGCCCCACCAACTGTTAAATCTGTATGATTTGAAGCAGCATGAACGGAAGCAGGTGAAAATGCAGTTCTGTGATTTACAGGTGACAGCAAATGTCTCCGTCTCACCTACTATCCCTGGAAATAGCCCCGTCTTCATGTCTGACTCTGACACAGCCTGGGTTTCCTGAAAACTATACAGCCTCCAGATGGATGAGTCTGTTTGTATGTCTATGAAAATCAAAGCGAGGTCGAGGGTGTTGGAAAGGAGATAAGTGCAAAGTTTGCCAGGATTGCCTCTGTCTGCCTCCAGACTGGTCTACGTGAAGTCAACGATGTGCCCTGAGGTGACCTACTCTTCGGTGTCTTTGAATCCCAGCAGGCGTTGAGGATTTAAAGTTGTAGGGCAGGTCTACGGGTTAGCAGTGTTAGTCAGATCACACTCTGCTTCAGTACAGAGTCGGATTTCTAGAGCTCAGCGGGGATGTTGAAAAGAGAGCTGCCATGTCCTTGTACGCAGCAGGAGCTTTCTAAAATTGAGTTACCTTTAGTGTTCTATTCAGTACCTTTTCTGTGACTTTAGAATAAAGTCTGCAAAAACCCTCTGTCCAGTTCACCAAGACTCTGGATCAGTGGAAATGTTATTTTCATCAGAGCAGGTTTTCCAAAGCTGTAAAGCAACTTAGCCGTGCCAGTTTGAGCAAGATGACCACACTGTAGTGTCCAGTGTGCTGTAGTTCTTCTACTTAGATGAAAAGAAGAAGAAAGGAAGAGCCTCAAAGCCATGCTACAGCCGCCTAGAGGCCTGGCTACTCCTCACACTAAACTGGACAAATTTAGTTAAAAACAGCTGACCAACTAAGAGAACAACTGACCAGTTTCATCATCCTTAAAGAACGAGACTCTTGCTAGCAGACGACAGTAGAGCTGATGCTTTTCGTGGAAGGCTAAAACAGACCGCTTACACAAAGGCCAGGATGTGCAGATACGCTCTCACAAGCAGACATGCACGTTAAAAAAACAGGAAGGAGCCTCTGTGAGCCATCTATCTGTGATGGATAGTGAACAATAAAGCTTGCACTGAGGTACGCCTTTCTGGACAGAGAGAACACAGTATCTCTATGTATAAATAAAAGAAAACAATACTGAAATCCCACATAACAAATGACAGGCAACAGGTGATTTAAAGAAGCACATTACAAATGCAGTCATAAATCTAATTAAATGCAGGTGCACCGCCAAATTTTAACTCAGACGGCTGCAACCAACTGAAGTATGATTGTTTCAATATGCTCATATTTTTTCAGAGTGTGCCATTTTCAAAACCATTGAAATCTCGAGCTGTCTAGCATCAGCCTCTGCAGGAGCATAAGTTTCTCATTCTGAATCAATCACAGCTAGTTTATCAGATGGCTGAGTTATTTTACCATAAACCCATTGGTAATGAGCCATACAAAGAGTTTTAATCTGTCTCCTTTCATATCTCACTCACAAAAATGTGTGTATTTCACTCAGTTCAGGCCCTGGTGTTTGCTTTATGCGGTTATGCTTCACTAGTTGTGTGAAACTGAAATTTTGATTTCTCACAGCCTTGAGTCATCCATATACACTTTATGTTAGAAGTGCTTTAGCTTCTTACTTTTAGGTTTGATTTTGATAAACACTTTGATTGTTGAGCTCTGTTGTGGTATTCTTCCACTGGAGCTAAATAAATACTTTACACCTCAACACAATCAAAGTGAGCTGTGTAATCAAAATTACTGAAAGGGCCATTTTGTTGCTTAGCATTTCAGCATCTGCGCCGCACTTGTTGACATCGCCTTTCAATCAAACAGTGTGGGCGGCAATGTGGCATCCTTTCCTGTTTCTGTTGAAAATGTAAATACTGTATGTTAATGTGCAAGTGCAGTTATAGTATACTAGATCAGTGGTTCCCAACATGGGGTTGACAAGACTTTTAAAAGAATAAGAAAGTCTCTCAAACAAAATTAATGTTTATTGTTTCTGGCCTTTCTCAAAATGTTTTTGTTGTAAAATTCTGAGTCCTTTCAATTCTTTGGGCCCATAAAAATCATTCAAATTAAACAATTTGGAAAGGAAAAACAATATGGCTGAACCCCTCACCAATCATGTCCACACTGAGGCAACCTGTTTGACATATTATTAAAGATTACTTCATTTTAGAGGTTCACAAGCCACGACATTTGGCAGCTACTGTTTGATAGATAATAGTATCCATGTGTACATCCATCACTTTACATTAAATCTGGTTTTAAAATTAGATATGAAACTTTCTTCTTCTTTTTTCTCTTTTTTTTTTTTTACTGCTGTCAGAGTCTATGAGATGCTCATTTATTTTCATCATGCATTGCATTGTGGAACAATGTGAATGCCCTCAAAAACAGACTGGCATTTTTAATGATGATAATAATTCATATTCTATTTCTATCTGTGACATATACATTTATTTTTTTTGATTTTGTTATTGTTTGCAGCGCAGTGTGAACCAACTGCGTAACTATTTCAGAGAAGTGAGTGATGAGGGCACAGGAGAGCAGCTCCAACCAAGTAAACACCTCCCCCTCATCCTCTCAGGAGACCGACCGCGAGTGAGCACACCCGCGGCCTCCTGGGCCTGGGAGGAAATGAGAGGAGGAGGAGGAGAGGGAAGTGGCAGGCTCACAAAGAGAGACAGAGTGAGGTGAGATAGGGAGAGGCTCAGCACACCATGAAAGATCAAAGACAAAGGTTATGCACCGCTGCAGCCAAAATAAGCATATCAGTGGTGTGGCTTTCAGTAAAAGTTGTTGTCTTTAGATTTCTAATTTGGGATACTGCTGTTTTATTGTTCTCAAGCCTGGATCAGAGCATTTCTTGTTAATTTGGCTATTTTCAAGTGATTCTAATCTGGACTAGGCAGACACCTAAATTCTCCTGGGTCAGGTCATTTGATTTGGCAACATGTCAGATTCAGCTGACTACAGAGAGCCTGTCCTGAACAATGAGGCACATCAGAGACTCACAGGTGGAGATTAGAGCCCAGCTCCACTTTGTCTCTCCACATGAGACACAGAGAGCATGTCATCGTTCAGCAGCTCCTCTTATCCAACCAAGCCAGGAGCCCTTGTCTAAAAACAGCAGCAGACATATTGATTGGAAATCTCTTCAGTGACATCAGAGCACTTACTGTTTACACTCTGTACTTTATTTCTTCTTTTCTCTTCAGCTCTCAAAAAGAGGTAGCATATCAATCCTCTTTTGACATCTCTGCTCTGGCCCCCTATGTGCTGGTGAATCAAGTTTAAAGTATTGCCTCTGGTTTACAAACACACAATAACATAGTATTTAATGTTTTTTTGCTGTAAGCAATCTCATTGTCTCTCTGTCTCTCCTCTTTTGGCCCTTTCTTCTTTTTTTGTCATTTTCGCCCTCATCGACTATTTCTCTCATTCTCTTTTCTTTGGTGTCAATTTCAAGTGTGTGTGTGGGTGTGTGGGTGGGTGTGTGTGTGGGTGTGTGGGTGGGTGGGTGTGTGTGTGGGTGCGGGGGGGGGGGGGGCAGTTAAGTGAAATATTTACTTAATTAAGCAAATATCAAATTAAAAAAATCAAATTGTGTTTTACATAAAAATGATAGCATAACAAAAAATAGAAATGCTATGAAAACCTATTTAATGACATTTTTACATCTAATACTTTCTGATAGATAACTGTTTTCATCTTTTCTTCATAGTTTTGACTGATGTTCATTTCTAGCATCTTTTTATGATAATATTAACTGTACATTTAAATATACATTATATATATATGTAGGGATGATCGGCTGCGGCCCATAGCACAGCAGTGTTTTCACAGTACCACACAG